ATACTAGGCCAAGGACTCCTATGCGTGGTAAAGATTTCGCCGCAATGCATTCATGTCCTGGGGTCTTTTTCTGTTGTAGGGCCTTCAGTTGCAACATGATTTCCTGTGGCGTAGTGTGTCTTATGGGGCGAGCCGTTTGAACAGGAGAGCTCAAGAAGGTAGCAACTTCAGCGCGATGATGATCGGCTGTTAGCTCGAAGGGAGTAAAGGTAGAGGAGAGGTGCGCAGCAAATGCGTTCGCTTTGTCATAACCCGTTTTGAGCCAATGGGCACTGTGACTCCGGATGAGTGACTGGAATAACGGTTGTCTCTTCATACCTCTAGTGAGCTTCCAAATCGAGAAGTCACTGTTATTGTCTGGACCAGCTCCTTCCAGCAAGGTGTCAAAGTTTTTCTGCCGATTTTTGGCTAACAGCCGGTGCAGTTTATTAGTGACGCTTGATAACATTTGTTTCACGGCTGGATCACCTGACGCCATGTACTGCCTTCTAAGATTGCGCTTCTGGTTGAGTAGAGTGGTTAAAAGACACTGTGTAATCCTCGAGCTCATTACAATTGGTAATGGGGACGTTGAGTTCAATAGAGGCATCTATATGAGCTTTAAAAGCCTCTATGTTAGCATGTGGTGGCAATAATTTCGAAACGCCTTTGAAGAAACACTTTTTTTTTTTTTTGGATATTTATTTCCGCCGGAGTTGTTCAATGCCATTTGAACATAATCGGACGTATGAGGACATGTATACATATATAGTAGATAATATACTATTTAAACTAAATACAATTATTTACAATTATTTACAAAATTTACAAAATTTACAAAATTTTATATGGTTTACTGGATGACCCGGGAAGCGAGTTCACTGGGGTGTAATCTCTTCAGCCTTCGAAGAGGTTGCGGGTTGACAAGTCTGCTAGCCAATGGGTTTGGGTGCGCCAAGAGCCTGTCGCTGTATCGGCTGCTGTGATGGTTAATTTGATCGCCCTCCGGAATAAGGCGAAGATCAACTTCGATTGCCCGGTTGGTCACATACCAGGGAAGCCCGGTTGCCCGCCGAGCAGCACGTGCCTGCACCACCCTTAGCCTGTTCAGCTGGTGCCTTGAAGCTGTGCCCCAAAATTGGATGCCGTATGTCCAAGTTGGCGTGAGGAAGCAGTGCCGGCTAGCCGCAGGGCGGTTCTTTACATTAACATTACTGTGGCATACTTTTAGGTACTTTTTTAACTTTAGTGGGCATACTTTTAGGTTCTTTTAAGACATTAGTGAGGCATACTTTTAGGTACTTTTTAAAAATTATGGGGCATACTTTTGATATTTTGGACCGATTCATTCGAAATCAGGGCCTCGAAATACATGGACATTCAAAATTTTAACGAGGCGTAGAAATTCATTAAAAGTTATCGTCGAATTGGTATTTTTGAAAGGCTTGGGAATTTTTTAAGATGTATATGTCACAAAAAAGTTCGACCATGCCATGATTAAAGTACTGGTTTAAGGGGTTATCCGGGTCTTGACACTTCAAAAAATTAATTTTTTTCAAACTTTTTTATGTGTCAGGAATGTTGTCTGAAAATTTCAAGTTGATCGAAGCAAAACTAGGAATGGGAGAAATTTACATACGGCATCCAAGTTTGGGGCACAGCTTCAAGGCACCAGCTGAACAGGCTAAGGGTGGTGCAGGCACGTGCTGCTCGGCGGGCAACCGGGCTTCCCTGGTATGTGACTCATGGCGCACCCAAACCCACTGGCTAGCAGGCTTGTCAACCCGCAACCTCTTCGAAGGCTGAAGAGATTTCACCCCAGTGACCTCGCTTCCCGGGTCATCCAGTAATCCAAAAAAATTTTGTAAATTTTGTAAATAATTGTATTTAGTTTAAATAGTATAATATATACTATATATGTATATATGTCCTCATACGTCCGGTTATGTTCAAATGGCATTGAACGATTCCGGCGCAAATAAATAATTTAAAAAAAAAAAAAAAGGGAGAAATTTAAGGCCCAGCGCGTCGAATGAGTCATAACTGGCAATTAGGGCTCTGGCGTCGAGCAGATGCGGCACTTTCAACGCGTTTTTCTCAAAACCACTTTTTTGAATTCGGTAGTCACGTTTTCTCAAGAACTATTGAACCGATCGACTTCTGCTTTTGCACACTTCTGACATGGGTCATCCCATCCTTAAGAAATATTTCTGTAAAACTTCGGTAAAAAATTGAGCTTTTGAGAAAATCGCTTAATAAGTTTAAAGCCTAGTACGCAGATATGCGAAAACTGTACGCCAGTCATGAGAGAGAGCGAGAGGCAAACAGCTGGCGTTCACTTTTCGTCGGGCCTTTTTTTCACATCGGTCCCCGGATCGACGAAAAAAATACCAGAAAATTCCATAGCGTTGGCAGTCTGCGGAAATTAACTTTGGGTGAACCCTAGCGAAAAGAACATTATAAGAAATGGAGGGAAAAACTCAAAAAACTCACAAAAGTCGATTGCAGGTGTTTACATGTGAGGAAAAAATAACATTAATACTATCTGGGGTGCCTCTTGTCAGAGCAAAATGTTTTTTAGGTCCAGAATGTACGAAAAAAACACAATAAAAGCGCAGCTATAAACTTTAAATTAGCACATAATTATCAGTAAAATAAAAAAAACAACTTTTAAATTTAAATTGTATTGTTTTTTAATTTATTTGTACAGCGGCAGACTTGTCTTGCCAAGGTATTCAATAATATCTCTAAAAGGCTCTTTCCCGCAAATACGATATTTGAATTTTAACTGCTTGTCAACAAACCCAGCTGATTGACAGTACGACCGTAGCACGCTTAAATCTGATGAACTCTCAACATTTTGGTCACACTGGAAAGATTAAATTTTTTACGCTAGCATACTCGTTTGTCGATCTGAGTACTGAGCTTAAACTCCTGCAATCGACTTTTGCGGGTTTTTTTTATTTTTTCCCTCCATATTATAAAATGTTCAGTGAGAAGCGCACGCCAAAAGATAAAATTTTTTATTCTTTTCGCTAGGGTTCACCCAAACTTCATTTCAGCAGACTGGCAACGCGATGAAATTTTCTGGTATTTTGTCGTCAATCTGAGTACCGAGGTGAAAAAAAAGCCTGACGTAAAGTGAACGCCTGCTGTTTGCCTCTCGCTCTCTCTCATGACTGGCGTACAGTTTTCGCATATCTGCGTACTAGGCTTTAAACTTATTAAGCGATTTTCTCAAAAGCTCAATTTCTCAATTTTTTACCGAAGTTTTACAGAAATATTTCTTAAGGAGGTCATCCCATGTTGAAGCCGTTTTTCTTATTTTTTATACCCTTGCAGAGGGTATTATAATTTTGGTCAAAAGTGTGCAACGCAGTGAAGGAGACATCTCCGACCCTATAAAGTATATATATTCTTGATCAGGATCACCTCCTGAGTTGATATAGCCATGTCCGTCTGTCCGTCTGTCTGTTTCTACGCAAACTAGTCTCTTAGTTTTAAAGCTATCGAATTGAAACTTTGCACACACCCTTCTTTCCTTTGCACGCAGTATATATGTCGGAACGGCCGGGATCGGGCGACTATATCCTATAGCCGCCATATAACTGATTGATCGGAAATGCCATAACTTTGGTTTTTGTTAAGTTAGGAAGTTGGGATTTTCTATGGGTTTTATTTTTAGCCAATCAATCCGACCTATCAAATTTCATAAGGGTCGGCCGACTATATCCTATAGCTGTCATATAACTGAACGATTGGAAATGCCATAACTTTGGTGTTTTTAAAGTTAGGAAGTTGGGATTTTTTATGAGTATTAAGAATGCATCATATGAATAATTTTAGAGAATATAATTTACAGAGTATTCTGCAAGGGTATATCAACTTCGGCTCCGCCCGAAGTTAGCTTTCCTTTCTTGTTTTTTGGTAATTTTATTCAACGATCAATTAAAAGCTTTAACTTAAAATATTTACCATATATTTGGGGTATGTTTATGTACATTCATGAATTTTTTGTGTACAAATAATAACATTTTTTGAAGCTAGAAAGCAATGAAGTAGGGGATGTAAAAAAAATTATCCGCTGGCTATCATCGGGATTCCAGCTGATGGGTGATCTGAAATACAAAAATCAAACAGCATTTTAGTCTGTGAGTCTGTGGCTATGACGCGTAGTAAATATTTTGAAAAGTATTGAAAAATAAAGTTTTTACACGACTTTAAATTTATGATTTAAAAAAAAAACACTTTTTTTGCTCTATTTTGTTGTGTATACAAAAAACGACGTGACACACACACATGTGCTGAACATGCCCTATAAATTTAAAGGCGATCAAGTCGTTTTTTAGCCGTTTAGCCAGATGAAAAAAGGTGGTTTCAAGAAAAATACGTTTGAAAGTTGAAGTATGAATCACGCCGTGAAATCCTGACTTACCATCAATCTGCGATTTCTGCACCATATAGGACACCTTCCTGCTCTTCATAAAATTAATGATTTTATCTAAAATTATTTTGTCTTATTTTAATATCAGCATATTAGAAATGGCGTTAAAGTTTAAATAAGTTTGTCACTGTATGTAGGCCTCTACAACTACCTTATTTGACGCTAGCACTATCAGTGTGCCCATATGCTCGCTGCCAGTGTGACCGCGTCTACCGTTTTGCGCGCACGCTGTTCTTTAAATTCGAACTTCGCATTCCATGGAGCGCACCCGCGCTTAACAGCCGAAAAAGCTTAAATTTCATAGTTGAAGTTTTCATTTTTTTTCTAGACAAACAAAAAAATAGTTGAATATTGAAGAGCATTCATAAATAATTAAAGTACTATTTTCTTCTCGATAAAGGGAACACCCTTGGTTTTAAAAATTAATTTATTTTAATTCCTTAAACAATTTATTTTAATCGAAACCAATTCTTCAAGTCCCTAGAAACTAGCTATGTACTTTTTATAGCTACAAATGTATGTATATAATTCCACTCAAAGCTTTAGTCGCAAAAGCTTTTGCCAATGACATTGGCAGTATCAAAAGTCGGTAGATAAAACGGTGTAATCATCGCAATCGTGCACCCAGTTGTTTACCAAGCGTAAACGCAGGCGGAGATTAGTGGACGGGAAAGTCAGGGAAAGGAACTAAAAATGGCACTCAAGTTCGCTGCGAATCTAAACTTTCTGTTCACGGAGAGGGCGGCGACGATCGCGGAGCGGATCCGACTGGCTCACCAGAATGGATTCCGGGCCGTGGAGATCCCCTATCCGGAGGGCGAGACCGGCGACGTGGTAGCCGCCGTTAAGGACACGGGCGTGGTGGTTAGCCTGGTGAACCTGGCCTTCGACAAGACCGACGACCAGCTGCGCTTCGGCTCCACCAGCGTTCCCGGATCGGAGAAGCTGTTCAGCCGCCAGCTGGACGCCACCATCGAGTTCGCGCGTCAGGTGGGATGCGGCAAGATCCACCTCACTGCAGGGATCTTCAAGGGCGGCCAGGAGAGCGACTATACGAAGACGTACACCTCCAACCTGAAAATCGCCGCCGATAGCCTCAGGGCCAGCCAGATGGTCGGCGTGATAGAGCCAATTAACAAGTACGCCGTGCCCGGCTACTTCATGAACTCGTACGCCAAGGCCGCCGGAGTGCTGGCTGACGTGGGTGCGGACAACATCCAGCTGCTGGCCGATCTCTATCACCTTCAGCACCTGCATGGCAACGTGTCTAAGACGCTTGAGGAGTACAAGTCCCTGATCGGCCACTTCCAGATCGCCCAGGTGCCGCATCGCCACGAACCGGACGTTTCCGGGGAGCTCGACTACGGCTACGTCTTCAAGACCCTCCAAGAGTTCGGCTACGACGGATGGGTTGGCTGCGAATACAAGCCCAAGACGACGACGGTCGAGGGTCTGGGTTGGGTTTCCAAGCTGGGCTATACGCTCTGATCAAATCAAAGGACACTACGGATTGCATTGCATTTATACACATGTTTTTACACTTTTTACAAATATAAAGCTGGTTAAACCAATATTTTCTATTCTGTTTTAAAAAACTTTAAGATGGTCAAAAAGGGGCGGTCCCCATATCTTGTTTTTTTTTAGAAACATTTTCCTATGCTTCCGTCAAAAGGTCATGAAATTGTCCTACAGCAATTGTGGAATAAAACAGTAGCTAAGCATACACGATTAGATAAGATTAGATAGTCGGTAGATCCTCGTATCTCGTCAGGCGTCACTCTCACTACGGATGACCCGCTTGGCATATTCGGCGATGTGAAGCACGCCATGTTGCGGCGAGGCGATGTGCAGGTTGCTCCCGTTACAAAAGACCGTGTTGATGTACGGATTGTGCAGTTCGGCAACCAGGGTGGAGCAAGCCGTCGAGGAGTCTCCAGTGGACTTCAGCATTTTCTACAACGAAAGGCGATTTTAATAGACGATTAGTAAGAACGGAATGCATTTATGATTATAACAGCAGTCAGTCATGTCAATGGCTGGTACATTGGGATATTGTATAGTCATCTGAGTATGTGCTAAATGCCACTTCATTTATTTTTAAAGGTTAAACTCTCAATAACTTGTTCTGAAAGGTAGAATTGTTTAAAAATTGCTCGCCCTATTTCAATCAATTACGTACAATCAGATTACAGGACGACTATTGTAAAATTTTTAATGTATTTATATGTATTTATATAAATTAATATGTTTCAAATTAATTGAAATCTTATTTTATTTTTTGCTTGTATTACAAAAGCCTAACCCACAAAATCTCCTATCATTAAATTACAATTTTTTATAGATATACGAGTCGAGGACAAATTTTAAGTTCCGTCATTTGTGTTTTTGTGTTTACTATAAATAAATGCATAGAAATTTCAAACAAATATATATGTATTTATGCTTAAATTGCAAACAATTAATAAACAATTTCGTGACTAAGCCTAATAAAATTTTTTAGAGAAATCAATATCAATTGTATTGTCTCATAGCTCGAAAGAGACTTACATTTAAATCCATTTTTTATTGTCGCGGTAATATATAAGGCATTCGAAAAAAAGATCAACACTAACTATGTAACTAAACAACGTTTTTTTAATTTCGTTCAACTTTTTTGGCCTTAATGGAACGCTTAACTGAGCAAATAATCCCTTCCCCAATTTTCAACTAAAGCCTTATCAGATGGATAGTAATTAAAAAAGACTAATAATTAATGGTCATTTTTTTTACTAAACAAAATCGATAGCGAATTATATGTAAAATTATCTTTATTAGCGATAAGTAATTTTTATATAGATTTAGTTCCGTTCTGTTAACATAAGGATTCATTAATTTGGCTAACTTAATTCTTAACTTAATTTACCTGACCAAAATAGACCATCGTCTCGTCAAGAAATCCATGCTTTTTCTTTTTTGTGTTAAAATTAAGATTAAAAACAAGAGAGAACGCTATAGTCGGGAGCCACGACTATCAGATACCCGTTACTCACGTAAAGGGAGTGTGAGGGAGATGGAGATAGAAACTTTGATCACGCATAACTTTTTAACGAATGGTCCGATTTGAAAAATGTTTTCTACATTTCGATAGGTATTGATAAACACAATAAAACTGCATTTTTACTTTTCCGAAATATTTAAATTTTTTAAATCGATTGTGGGCGTTAAAGGGGGCGTGGCACCATTTTGAAACAAACTTGCGCTGCGTAGGAACTTCTAAAATCTACATGCAAAATGCCAATCTTCTAGCTTTTATAGTTTCCGAGATCTCAGCGTTCATACGGACAGACAGACAGACAGACGGACAGACGGACATGGCTAGATCGACTCGGCTAGTGATCCTGATCAAGAATATATATACTTTATAGGGTCGGAAACGCTTCCTTCTAGCTGTTACATACTTTTGCACGAATACAATATACCCTTTTACTCTACGAGTAACGGGTATAACAAGAATGGAATCAAAATTCGGCAAGCCGAAGTTTATATACCTTGCATTTGTTACAAAAAAGAAATATTCTATTTTTCGATGCTTTAAAAAGATGAAGCTAGGCCGATTTCCCGATAAATTTTTCGATCGTTGCTATGACATCTATATGATAAAGTCGTTCGATTTTTATAAAAGTAAACCCGTAATACTAAATCGTTAAAAATTACTATAACTAGGAGTTATGGGTATATAAATAAAAAAACAAAAGATTTTAATTTGTATTTAAAACTTGAAAAATGATAGTTATTGTTTGAGTTGTATAAAAAACATAGCTTGATAAGTAAAGCAGGCGCCGCAAATTATGATTATTGCTTTTTGAATAAAAAATAATTCACTAATTCTTATCATTTTATTTACATTTAATTTTATTTTTAAAACTTATTTGTGAAGCCGAAAATAAAACTCCCGATATAATATTTATCAAACTCATAAAATAAAACATGACAAAAATATTTATACTTTGTGAGTAAAATGGAAGACTTACTGTTTTTATACCTTTGCAAAGGGTATTATAATTTAGGTCAAAAGTTTGCAACGCAGTGAAGGAGTCATTTCCGACCCTATAAAGTATATATATTCTTGATCACCATTACCAGGAGAGTCGATCTAGCTATGTCCGTCTGTCCGTCCATTTCTACGCAAACTAGTCACTCAATTTTAAAGCTATCTGCTTCAAAATTTCCAAAAAGTTGTCTTTGCAGGTAGTATATAAGACGAAACGAGTCGGATCGGGTGACTACATCAAATAGCTCCAATAGGAACAATCGGAAAAAAAATTTATAGGAAAATAGGAAAAAATTTTAAAAAATAAAAATTGAAAATATTTGTATATTGCTGTTTTTCTGCTTATCAAAATATTTCTTTGAGATATAGTAATTATTTACTATATCAGAATTACGCTTTTAGTTTTGTCAAAATCGGACAACAATATCATATAGCATAGAAATCGAAATGTAGTCGTTTTGGAATAACTGCAATGGCATATAAACTTCTTGCCTAAGATTGCTTCCTTTCTAGTTATTGAAGCAATAAATCAAATAACTATGTAAAATTAACTTTTTGACTACAACTAATAATTGTTACGGTCCCTTGATTACTTTACAGAGTATAAAAGGAAATTTAAATACATTCATAGAATAGTAATATACATTTAAAAGGTTCAAAAACAACCTGTTCCATCTTGTTTCAGTTCAATTCAGTAGTGTAAAAATAAACTCTATATATACGGATAATAGAGACATCCCCTCCACTTTAGTCTAAAACATCTACTGCTAGAGCTTATGCTATTATTGTTTATTACTCACCATCCAGAACTCGTTGCCCGGCAGTGCGTTACCGTCCCAGGCGTAGGATACAACGAGGAGCATCTCGGCATGCTCGGGGTCAGTTAGCTTCCGGGCCGGATTTCGCTTGGATATGAGAACCCTAATGCCGTCCTTTGGATGGCCAGGGATCTCTACCAGCGATCCGTTGCGCAGACCACCGCAGTCGGTAATAGAGAACCAGGAGAAGTGCACGAGACCCACGTGACTTAGCCGGTTGCCCAGCGTGCGCATGCGCTGTTCGAACGTCTCCAGAAAAATGCGCTCCTGCTGAGCGGCCGCCTTCCACACGCCAAGCCCGAAGCCCACCACATGTATGTAGGCCAACCTGTTGACCGTCTGGGCCCTCGCTTGCGCCTCCAACAGCAGCATGTCGAAGCTGACTGCGTATCGCCGTTTCATTACCAGGTTATCAAAGACGTCCTGCTTGTTCCTCGAGGGCCCGAAGCGCCGGTTGTCGATGCTAGCCTCCCCGTGGATTAGATCCCGAGTGGCATAAAATCCGCGCCACATTCGGCGGTAATCCTCGTCCCGCGTGGAAGCAGGCTCATCCAACGCTAACCCGTATCCCCTTTCCCGCGTGTTCTGCTGACGTGCGATCACAATGTCCTGGAACTCCATAAGATTGCGCCGTGACAGCCGGGCTCCAATCATGCCCACGATAATCCCGCTTTGCTGCAGAGTCTTGGTGTCCCGGTCTACGCGTCCGCAGTTGGTCCGCTCGCCCTCGTTGACAAACTCGGTGTATGAGCTGACGGAGAGTAGGGCGGACAGCTTGATGTCGTCGTAGCTCAGCACCTTGGCCAGCACCAGGGGTGCCTTCTCCTCTCGAGAGCCAACGGATTCGAACCCACTGGCCCCGGTCTCTCCGCTCAACAGCAGGTACTTGTCGTTGCGTGCAAAAAAGCTGGCGCAGCGCTTGTCCAGTAGACGCTGCACAAAGCCGCACAGGGAGAGCGGCCGATAGATGGGCTTTTCGATGGAGTTGCCTGCGACCGGGATGGAAACGCATCAGTTTAGACATGTAAGAGAAGGAGGGGGAACGCCTTACCCCAGTGGCACTTGTGCTCCAGGTACTGCAGGTAGAGGCCCAAAGTTCGTTCATGTATCACCGGATAGGCGGAGGACACCTGCTGGTTTATCCTGCCCAATCGCAGAGGAGATTGTCTCTTCGCGCGGACACTCTCCACGCCGAACTGCAACACAATATAATGCTCATAAGCGATTGACTGGATGGCTTGGCCAGACCCACCTCCAGAGGAAACTCGCTGGAATTGGCCATCAGTTTTTGCAACTCTTGCTCTCCAGCTACGGGCTTCTTCACCTTCCGGCATTCCTTCAACAGTTTGCGTCCAAAATCGGTCAGGGGTTGGGAATCTCCGGTGATCGCCGGCCAAACCTGGTCAACTTCAGCTCCAAAGGTGGACATATTTCGTGAATGCTTCTGATTCGATTGAATTTCACAATTGTTTTTAAATAGTTGCGGTGGAACCTCCCCATCTTCCCATAAATCGATTTTGAAGTTGTCCGAGCCTATCGATATAAATATATGTATATAAATTGAAGTTCGCATAAGTGTTAAACAAACTAAACAGAATTTCATCCGATGTTTGTAGGCAACTGAAAGTATCGGTAAGAGCTGACAACGCTGATAAGCGAGGTTAAAGCCTGGTTTCCACTATTCAGTGTTTTGGTATTATCAGTTGATGGTGTCAAGGTATTTCCAGTGTTGGATGCATCAATACTGAGTCAATTTGCTGCTATAATATGATATCCAATCAGCGGACAAAAATTAAATCGATTTAAATAAATGTTCATCAATAAAGAAAAATGCAGCACAGTATTTTCATCAACTATGAATATATGAAATCATTGTCGCAATACCAAAGGCAAGTGGAGAAGGAGCGTTTCGACATGCAATTTTCTTTTTTAGAAATTTCAGCAATTTAAAAAATTCTCGGATGTTGAAAACCAAAGTTGCCTTTCTATTTTCACTAAAAAGGCATGACAACTGTAATGTAATTTCGAGGTACGGCTTATTTACTATGAAATCAAATAAGAAAGTACTTTCAGACGTATCCTATCAAGTCAGCTATCAGTTGCTTAACTCGGTTATCCTGTCCACATTGGGTAATCCATAGCTCGAGTTTCAAACAGATGTTCTTTGTTTCTATTTTGCTGCTTAAGCCTAGTATCCAGATCGATGAAAACCGTACGCCACTCATGAGAGAGAGCGAGAGGCAAACAGCTGGCGTTCACTTTTCGTCGGGCCTTTTTTTCACGTCGGTCCCCTGATCGACGAAAAAAATACCAGAAAATTCCATAGCGTTGGCAGTCTGCGGAAATGAACTTTGGGTGAACCCTAGCGAAAAGATAAAAAAATGTAATCTTTTGGCGTGCGCTTCTCACTGAACATTATAAGAAATGGAGGGAAAAACTCAAAAAACTCACAAAAGTCAATTGCAGGTGTTTACATGTGAGGACAAAATAACATTAATACTATCTGGGGTGCCTCTTGTCAGAGCAAATTGTTTTTTAGGTCCAGAATGTACGAAAAAACACAATAAAAGTGCAGCTATGAACTTTAAATTAGCAAATAATTATCAGTAAATTAAAAAAACAACTGTTAAATTTAAATTGTATTGTTTTTTAATTTCTTTGTACAGCGGCAGACTTGTCTTGCCAAGGTATTTGGTTATATCTTTTAAAGGCTCTTTCCCGCAAATACGATATTTGAATTTTAACTGCTTGTCAACAAACCCAGCTGATTGACAGTACGACCGTAGCACGCTTAAATCTGATGAACTCTCAAAATTTTGGTCACACTGGAAAGATTAAAGTTTTTACGCTAGCGTAATCGTTTGTCGATCTGGATACTAGGCTTTCAGTGAGAAGCGCATGCCAAAAGATTAAATTTTTTAATCTTTTAGCCTAGTATCCAGATCGACAAACGAGTATGCTAGCGTAAAAACTTTAATCTTTCCAGTGTGACCAAAATTTCGAGAGTTCATCAGATTTAAGCGTGCTACGGTCGTACTGTCAATCAGCTGGGTTTGTTGACAAGCAGTTAAAATTCAAATATCGTATTTGCGGGAAAGAGCCTTTAAAAGATATTATCAAATACCTTGGCAAGACAAGTCTGCCGCTGTACAAAGAAATAAAAAAACAATACAATTTAAATTTAACAGTTGTTTTTTTTTAATTTACTGATAATTATTTCCTAATTTAAAGTTCATAGCTGCACTTTTATTGTGTTTTTTCGTACATTCTGGACCTAAAAAACATTTTGCTCTGACATGAGGCACCCCAGATAGTATTAATGTTATTTTTTCCTCACATGTAAACACCTGCAATCGACTTTTGTGAGTTTTTCCCCCCATTTCTTATAATGTTCAGTGAGAAGCGCACGCCAAAAGATTAAATTTTTTAATCTTTTCGCTAGGGTTCACCCAAAACTCATTTCCGCAGACTGGCAACGCTATGGAATTTTCTGGTATTTTTTTCGTCGATCAGGAGACCGACGTGAAAAAAAGGCCCGAAGAAAAGTGAACGCCAGCTGTTTGCCTCTCGCTCTCTCTCATGACTGGCGTACGGTTTTCGTCGATCAGGATACTAGGCTTTTCGCTAGGGTTTACCCAAAGTTCATTTCCGCAGACTGGCAATGCTATGCAATTTTCTGGTATTTTTTTGACGAAAAGTGAACGCCAGCTGTTTGCCTCTCGCTCTCTCTCATGACTGGCAGACAGTTTTTGTCGGTCTGAGTACTAGGCTTTAAGGTAAATAATTGTAATTGTCCGTCAACCACATTGACCTCCATTTTGAATTTCGCTGTACTAGTGGTGATAGTATAAGAGTCTAACCGACCAATGATAATAATAACAAAAATTATCTAAATATTCAATTAGAAACTCTATTTTAAGTTTCACGAGTGACGGGTTTAAAAAGTCATCAATTCTTTATTCAGAGCATAAAGTCTCAAAGAAAACACTTTTCCGTTATTTTTGGCGTTTACCACTATCTGTCAAAGATTACGTCTTTCAATATATATTTTAAGCACAATTCGTAGATCTAGTTGACATTTTCTATTTATGTCAAGTGATTTTTTACTTTGTAAACAAAAGGTTTTTTAAAACTGATGAAAAGGTAGGGGCTTTTCAGAAGTTTATCGTCTTCCTCTCGCTCGTTTTCTCGTTTTAAGAAAACTCGTTAAAATCCAGAAAACTGCGCGAAATCGACTAACACGAGACCAATGTGACCGTAAGCAGTGGCTGAAAAACGCGTTGTTACTTCCTCACTGAACGTGGTATTCCGCGAGCGGTAGCTTTTGGTCTCACAAACCCTTAGCACGGATCCCGGTTGCAAAAAAATAGTTAATGTGCATTTTATTTACGGAATCGCGAGCACGAGAGCCGAGCCAACAGCGAAAGGATTGTCGAGAAAGACCGCCATTGCGCTAAGTAAGTAGCGTTAACCGGAAAACAGCCGGGAAAGCGGTGAAAAGCAAGGCAGACGGTGGAAATTGCGCGCGGCAAATAAAAACCAGCGACAAGCCACACACACACTACTCGTTCGCACACACACACTTACCTTCTTATGCACGCGCACAAAGCCGACGCACACACTCGCAGAAATAGCGCATGCAGAAACTGAAACACAAACAAAAAAGACGCTATAGTCGACTTTAAGATGCACTCATTTTATGCATTGTTGCTCCAAGTGTTTATTTCTTGAAAACCATGTTGTTAAGCTAACTTTCTTAAAAATGGTCAAATAAAAAAAAGAGTGGACTCACTGTTACAAAATATGAAGTACCGAGTTCTCCGACTAGAAGATACCCTACTCATTGCTCTGCGCTAAAAAAACCAAGCTATATACATTGTACGAATCAACGAAGTCATCAGCTCATGTTGAACAGGAATATATATGTACCTATGTTTTTTATAGTAAAATGCTCGCCAAAGTTTCGCCGAAATTCATATTTAGGCCTGGCGATGTTCGCTTTTCCATCCTACCTCTAGCTAGGATTATAAATATATAAGTTTTATTTAATAGACTTATGAAAGTACCTTCTGAGCTACTTCAACAAGTGTCATGGCTGAAATATGTAAAGATCCTCAAAATATCTTTTAGTTGGACAATCTAACATGTGTAATTTTTTTTTTTGCGGATAGTCGGTTACAAGGGTTGAGTATATACTTTATATGGCTTTCCTTTCCCTGTTAAGCACTTACACGAATATCCCTTTGCCTTACCAACTGAATCTCATTGTTTTTGCTTTGTTGCTTCTTCCACTATAGCCCGGTGAACGACGAACGACGCTGTCCCTCCGCCCCGTCAACACCAGCAGTCCGATTCACCGATTCCCCGTCGCCTCGGCTGCCGCCATCCTCCGGGTGAAGATGTCCGACTACAGCGACCTGGACCGCCAGATCGAGCAGCTGAAGCGCTGCGAGATCATAAAGGAAAATGAGGTTAAGGCACTGTGCGCCAAGGCGCGCGAGATCCTGGTGGAGGAGGGCAACGTGCAGCGGGTGGATTCGCCGGTGACTGTGTGCGGCGACATCCACGGTCAGTTCTACGACCTGAAGGAGCTCTTCAAGGTGGGCGGCGACGTGCCCGAGAAGAACTACCTGTTCATGGGCGACTTTGTGGACCGTGGCTACTACAGCGTGGAGACATTCCTGCTGCTGCTGGCGCTGAAGGTGCGCTATCCGGACCGCATCACGCTGATTCGCGGCAATCACGAGTCGCGCCAGATCACGCAGGTGTACGGCTTTTACGACGAGTGCCTTCGCAAGTACGGCTCGACGGCTGTGTGGCGCTACTGCACGGAGATCTTCGACTACCTCAGCTTGTCGGCGATTATTGACGGCAAGATATTCTGCGTGCACGGTGGCCTGTCGCCGTCCATCCAGTACCTGGACCAGATTCGAAGCATCGACCGCAAGCAGGAGGTGCCGCATGACGGGCCGATGTGCGACCTGCTCTGGAGCGACCCGGAGGACCAGACCGGCTGGGGCGTCTCGCCGCGCGGCGCTGGCTACCTCTTTGGGTCGGACGTAGTCTCCCAGTTTAATCGCACCAACGAGATCGACATGATTTGTCGTGCGCACCAGCTGGTGATGGAGGGCTTCAAATGGCACTTCAACGAAACCGTCCTGACCGTCTGGTCGGCGCCCAATTACTGCTATCGGTGAGTCATTCGCCAAATAACTTGTAGAGTTTCTTTAGTAATTGTTTTCTTCCACATACAGCTGCGGCAATGTGGCTGCCATCTTGGAGCTGAACGAGTACCTGCACCGCGACTTCGTCATCTTCGAGGCGGCTCCGCAGGAGAGTCGCGGCATACCCTCGAAGAAGCCCCAGGCGGACTACTTCCTTTAAGACAAGCACAGTCCGGCGACATCCCGCTTCTTCTCCCCTGACAAGCCGCTCGAAGGGACGCGGGGTCGGTGGTGGGTGCCCACGGGTGGCTGACACAAATCATTTAGGGAAAATAAAACTGCCAGCCTGCCTAAGCAAAGCAAACGCGAACCGCAACTGCAAGTGCAAGAAAAACAATTGTAACATAAACGTAAGCTAAGTTATCAAACTGGCGGCGTGTAACAGACTGCATGTGCACCCCAAGCAGCCGCACACAGTTCCACATTCATTTTCAGTTCTGACGTTCTCCAGTTATACCTGGATGTCTTTTTTTTACCATCTGTTTAATTTTTTTTTGCTTTTATTTGGCGATTTGTGCTGTTATGTGTTCGTGGAAGTCATCTAGTGTGTGTAGAGATCAATATTATAGATCGCGTATGAAACCGGCGCATTGAATCTAGCTACTAACTAATAGGATTAATAAACGATGTCCGCGGTTCCTGCGAATTCGCCTGGCGCAGACGGTCAGCAATCATACCCGCATCTGTCGTCTCCTCGATGCGAATTCCCTGATATCGGGCAATTTACTATACATTTAGATGTAGGTTAAAGCATTAAGCTATTTGACCGATAGATTGCATGAAGTCGGCAGTGTTAGGATTGAATTAGAGGGAAATCCGGAGCAAAGTTTGAAGTTGTCATTATATTTATTGATTAGAAAACGACTTTGCATGCCTGAAACGGAATATCTCAGCCTGAAAATAGCTGGAGAAAACCAGATAATGTAGTAATTCGTAGCATGTAAGAAACAAATTTTAAGTACGCCCCAGATTGGGATATTATATACAAATAACTATATATACTTATATTTAAAATAAAGAATGTAAGCTGAAACACGAAGTTAACTTAGCAATACTGCATACTTTTTGGGTCCTTTCAGGATCGCTTGAAATCTGCGAGGATAATTAAAAATAGTTTTCTAGACCAGAAGCTAAAGTAATAACTAATTTTTTTTAAACTGATAACTCTTTGCAAATATGTTAGTGAAGTACTCTGAGTATCTTTGATAGATATGTAGAATAAGTTTTTTCTACACATTATTCAAGAATAAGATGTTGGAAACTATTACTTATTCCAAAAAAATTAAATTTAGAATATGTCCTTCCCCAAAGGACACAAGCCAAAATCCATTTTCTTCTGCAGTTTCTCAGTTTATCGCTTACTTAAACACTAGTATACACATAAAAAAAATGATGGTTATATTCCAGAGGGGGCGCTTGTGATTCTGTAACGGGTTCAGTATGGGTCTCAAATCTGTTTTCAGTGTTCCTCCAGCTCGAGTCCGTGCTCCTTTATTTGCTCGTAGATGCAACCTTGGAAGGCAGCTGCTGCGTCGCAACTGAAAAATATATGCAGAAATAAAGGATGATGAGCCGGAACTAGGGGGACAACTACTCACTGATCCTCCGGTGCATCGATGGCCTCGCACTTGTCCACCACCTCGGCGGGGGCGTCCTCCTTCTCAGCATCGTGCTTGCTCATGGCTTTGACCATTTCGACGGCGTTCTCCTTGTTCAGCTTGCCAGTGTCATCCATCTGCAAGGAAATTAGATGGTAGGCAAAGTATACTTCATGACAGTTCAGCACTTACAATCTGGAACTTCTTCAACACGCAGGCGCTCAGGCACTTGGCCTCGTGTCCCTCGGGCGCTTCATGCTTCATCATTTGCTCCACATCCTCTATAATAAAATAAAACGTGGATCGATGTTACGTATCATATAGATATTTTTTACTTCATTGCAGAGGGTATTATAAACTCAGTCAAAAGTCAGTCCGACCGTTTCTAAGCAGACTAGTCTTCTTTCTATTTCACGTAGTATTTAAGTCGGAATGGACCGAAACGGACGACTATATTATATTGCTCCCACAGGACCAATTTATAAAACTCGGACGCCATAGGAAATCTATACGAAAATTTACATAGCTTTATTTTTTTAAGCCTTTACGCCTTGTTATAACAAGAGTATATAAAATTCTGCTTGCCAAAGATTGCGTTTTGTGACTAATATTACATTTTTTCACACTTAAATGTGAATTGTTTGGGTGATTACCACGTAAATTTGATCTTAAGGGCTTGTGATTTGGAAAGAAATGATTTTAAGTTTGTCTAATCTGGAAGATTTGGATCCGGACATCTGAATAAACATTTTTGTACTTTTCGGGAGGGTTTTCCGAGCCCCAGCCGTTCTCAATTGCTTCAACATTTTAATATTTATATATGTAGACAAAGGGGAAGGGTCTTACTATTGCTGTAAAGCCATCGTACGATTTGAGAGGCCGCTTGGCGTACCTATATTTGCGCATTAATAGGTAAGCCAAATAAATATAATTTTAATATTTAAGTCTGTTCACAGTTTTGATATCCTTTTTTATCCATTTCAAAGGCCATTAATGTGCAGACAACATTTTTCACATTGGTGAAGGTGATATTTCCGACCCTATAAAGTAAATATATCCTCAATCAGCATCAACAACCAACTTGATCTAAGCATGCCCATCTTTCCGTCCATCTGTATAACTATTACGTATATAATACATAGAATATTATAATTTGGTTATAGTTGCAAGGGTATATAAAGCTCGGCTTGCGGAAGATAGCGCCTTTTTTGTCTTAACCGTTTTTATATTCTTTGGTCTAAACATTTTTTTTTAGTATCAATTTGACACTTTCTTTGCACATATTTAAGTTGATCAAAATATCAAATCGAATCACTATCGTGTCCTGTCCAGTTTTTCTTACAGAGGAGCATTAGGACTACTCACCATCAGTGGCGCCCGTCTCCGCCTTGCACTCGTTGGCCAGCTCGGTGGCATGGTCCTTGGTCATCTCCTCGTGCGGCTTGGCAAAGGTGGCTCCCAGGCACACCAAGACGAGGAGGAACATTACGGATAGGTTGACCAGGCGCGACATTTCGAGTGGCGATTGAACTGCGCGACGTACGAACTCTGACTTGGATGCTGAGCGCTGGCGACGCCGCCGTTTTATAGGGAAAGCTAAGGCCAAGTCCCGTGATTGACTTGGAAGATCAGATCCATTGCCGATCGCCGATCTACACCCGCGTCTCAAGCACCTCCGGCAATTACTCGCAATTATGAACTATATGGGCAGCACATGACACTCCACGCCGCTCTGGACGGGATCCGGCGGAGATGCCCTCGACTGGGCATCGTGTGAACATGTGACACTCTACTCCGCTGGACGGGATAGCATCTGAGCGACGATGCAGGTGGTGGGAACGGGGAACTGGGAGTTGAGCTGGCCCACCGATCTCCACTTACCCGCTTAATTGGTGACTGGCATGAAGTCAGACATCGCCCAGTGGAAATGGGAATGAAAATGCAAAATCCCGCTCGTAATTAAGCCGATCAACAGCTCTGGGTGAGAGATGAGTGATTGCGACTGGCAGGGCCATCCCACTATTATATTATTATAACCCCCCAGGCTTTGAGCCCCGCTCTGGCATTTGGTCGGGCAGGCAAATTGGCCGTTTAGGCCATAATCTACCCGTCCGTTTCCCAGTCTGTCACTTTGCCAACATTCTGATAATTCGCTCGTTCGCAATCTGCATTTCATGTTTGCTTTTTCATCGAGTAGAAATTTCAGTGCACGCAATCTATATGTAAATCCAAACAGGTGGAATTGGATCACAATCAATATCGTGTAAGCATGTTGCATGCTAATTTTTAAATGCAATAAGATTAAATATGGCTTACTAAATTTCGATAAAATTCACAAGAAAATTTCTTTGACAAGTTAAAATCTTTTAACGAGTCGGAAGACTTTTTAATTTAAATAAAATTAAGCACTTAAATATCAAATAGTTTCAAAAAATCTATGAAATTGTTCAATATTCTACTACAAAATTAGTTTAATCCTAGGGTGATAAAAACCAGATATTGCAAATTTACTATAGCAAAGGTATAAAAAGATTAACTAGTTTGTTGGTACAAACTATTCTCCAGATATAGAGAAAGCTTTGAAAGGTATCTAAGTATATAAAACAAGTTCTTATTTACATTCAAAAAAAAATAATTTTGTCTCATTTTTATGAAGAAAACTATGATCTTAACGGTCCTTCATAAAATTGCTAACAAATTAGGTAAGTCAAAAGGCCCTTAGAAGCGCTGGCACTTGTATGTACATACTACTATTTAGAAGCGGTATGTAAAATTCAAATGGAGTGCAGTTGATTTCATTATGCTGCAATGTCTATCGAAATAGCCAATTCAAAACAAAAATGTATACCAAATGATAGTTCATTTATATCAATAAATTTCCTATTTTAGGACGTTCTTATGAAAATCAATTAATAACTATTCGATATGTTCGAAAATGAGAGTTATTTTGCTTTTATACTGTTTGAATTAATGATATAGAATCGTACGGTTAGTGTGAAGAGTGAATAAAATTAATCAGTTATCTGCAATGTCTTTTTATACCCTTGCAGAGGGTATTATAATTTCAGTCAAAAGTTTGCAACGCAGTGAAGGAGACATTTCCGACCCTATAAAGTATATATATTCTTGATCAGCATCACCAGGAGAGTCGATCTAGCCATGTCCGTGTGTCCGTCCGTCTGTCCGTCCGTCTGTCCGTCCGTCTGTCCGTCCGTTTCTACGCAAACTAGTCCCTCAGTTTTAAAGCTATCTGCTCGAAACTTTCCCAAAAGTTGTCTTTCCATTGCAGGTAGTATATAAGTCGGAACGAGCCGGATCGGGCGACTTTATCATATAGCTGCCATATAACTGATTGATCGGAAGTGCCATAACTTTGGTGTTTTTAAAGATAAGAAGTTGGGATTTTCTATGGGTTTTATTTTTGGCCAATCAATCCGACACACGAAATTTCATAAGGATCGGCCGACTATATCTTATAGCTGCCATATAACTGAACGATTGGAAATGCCATAACTTTGGTGTTTTTATACCCTTGCAGAGGGTATTATAATTTTGGTCAGAAGTTTGTAACGCAGTGAAGGAGACGTTTCCGACCCTATAAAGTATATATATTCTTGATCAGGATCAATAGGGGAGTCGATATAGCCATGTCCGTCTGTCCGTCTGTCCGTCCGTCCGTCTGTCCGTCTGTCCGTCTGTCCGTCTGTTTCAATACCGTTTGCGAGCTCAGTTTAAAAGCTAGCGATCTGAAACTTTCACAGTCGTCCTAAAACAAGTTTGAAAACCGCCCCGATCGGATGTCTATATCCTATAGCTCCCATAGGAACAATCGGATATAACTTGCAAGAATGGAAGATATTTCGCGCAGTGTAAAAGCTATTGACATAAATCTTTCCAAATCTTATTTTTTTATGCGTACCTTAATCAGAGTAAAAGCGCGTGACGATCGGACGTCTATATCCTATAGCTCCCATAGGAACAAAAGGGTAAAATCGGTTAAAATTTAATGATTTTTAGGATATTTCACGCAGTATACAAGCTATTGACATGAATCTTTCCAAATCCTATTTTTTTATGCATACATTGATCAAGGTGAAAGCGCGTGCCGATCGGACGTCTATATCCTATAGCTCCCATAGGAACAATAGGGTGAAATCGGTCCAAATTTGATGATTATCAGAATATTTCGCGCAGTGTGTAAGCTACTAACATAAAATTTTCCAATTCTTATTTATTTACGCATAAATTGATTAGGGTAAAAGCGCTTGCCGCTCGGAAGTCTATATCTTAAAGGAGATAGGAAAAATTGTTAAAGGCTGCGAAAGTATCCCTTTTGTATATGACATTTTTGCAGTATAAAAGCAATTGACTTGAAACGATGCAAATCTAGTTTACTTATGTATACCTTATTCCTTTCGCTACTTTTTCACTTTTAGCAATTTCGTCAAAGTCTGCAAGGGTATTAAAACTTCGGCTTGCCGAAGATAGCTTCCGTCCTCGTTAAAGTTAGGAAGTTGGGATTTTTTATGAGTATTAAGAATGACTTCTTTTTCATGTTTTAATTTATGAATTTTCTATTCTATTTAAGAACTGCTTGAGTAAGGTAGCCGTATTAAATCGACTCAGCTAAAATAAAATAGTAACCATTTTTGTTTATTTTTAATTATCTCAGAACTGGTTCACAAACATGGAGAAATATAACTAATATAAAATATTTTATTATTTTTTTTAAAAACAAGAAACATAATTCATTAAATAATGTCAAAACTTAGTGGCTTGGTACCAATCTGAGAAAAATGCTTCAAGATATTCTTTTACACATCGTCAGATTCTTTTTTAACATCAACATCGATGTTGTCGATTTACAAATAATACTAATAATTAATAAGTATTCAAAAATTCCTTGTGCTTAAGCAACAGAATTATTTGAATGTCAGATTACCATTTTGATTTCCTTCAACAGGTCAACACTTTTGAACGGTAGAGCTAACAATATAATAAACAAGAACGGAAGCAATCTTCGATTACAATATATGTTAAGAATCAACGTATTTTATTACCCTTTTTCCTATGGGAGCTGTATGATATAGACGACCGATCTGGCCCGTTTCGCCTTATACCTACCTGCAACAGAAGAATAAAGAAGACTTTTTGGAAAGTTTTACACAAACAGCTTTAAAAATGCGAAACTAGCTGGCGTGAAAGGGTATAAAAAACCAAATTAACGGCGAATTTCCTTTAAATGCTTGTGTTTTAATTCGAAATTACACATTTTATTTCTAAGTTTTCGTTGGTATAAAGACTGGTGAGGCCAAATGACACTGGTGGCCAAAACTTAATACAAATGGCACGTGTCTAAAATCAAAATATAGAGTATTTAATTTTTTAAACAGCTTAATTTCGCTTCCTTTTTAGTTATACCAAAGTTCCTATATTATTCCGATTGTCACTGCCTAGAGTGAACTTATACACTTGCTGAGCAATGTTCGCGAAGTCAAAGACATTTTTTGCAGCGTGACTTGAGTGGGCGACACTGAGAATAATAAACTTGACATTGAAAAAAACGTTATAATCAGCAAAATCGACCTGGGAAAAAACATGTGCAGAAGATGGAAAGGTCGTGGGCCGATATATAAGCCAAGAGCCAGAGCAACGCAGATGCAAAGAACAAACCGACGCGAAGATGAAACTATCAACCATTCCACTGATTACTCTCGTGGCCGTAGTTCTGGTGCAGATGAACTGCATCCATGTCCATGGCCAAAGCCATGCCTTTGATCTGACCAAGCTTCTGCCCAAGAGCGGAACGGAGCCCATCTGGACGGTGGTAGATCGCAACTTGCCACAGGTCCAAGAAATGATCAACACGGCACGGAGCGAATGCGTCAAAAAGCTGGACCTGCCCAAAAATCAGCGCCCTCTGATGAAGGTGGCCAATCCCACAGAGAAGGAGAAGTGCCTAGCGGAGTGCGTGCTCAAGAAGATCAAACTAGTGAGTGGATCCGCGGCAACAGTAGGGGAAATAGACCTAACCCTTTTAAATTAATAACCCGCAGATGGACGACAACAACAAGCTGAACCTGAGCCAGGTGGAGAAGCTGACCAGTCTGGTGACCCAGGACAACAAGATGGCCATCGCCCTCAGCTGCAGCATGGCCCAGTCCTGCAACCGGGGCACCTCCTCCAAGAACCCCTGCGAGGCAGCCCACTTCTTCAACCAGTGCATCGGTCGCCAGATGGAGCGGAGCAACGTGAAACTAATCTGGTAAAAAGTAATCCTTCACGCGTGGGAGTTCCTGAAACAAAGAACCATTTACATAGAAGGTTGAACTATACCTACTCCAAGTATTTGTTGATTCCAACAATGTTATAATGTGCATCTCATCATGCGATGGCTCTGGCCGTGCTCAAAACTATTAATAATGAATCTTTTTTAATTGCGGTATAAGCATACGTTTATATACCAGTCAATTATTATTTGTTGGATTAAAATTTTTAAATTTGCGACGTCCAATTTGTAGTTTTGGCCATTTGTACGGATGTTAGGCCAGTATATAATTTATGTGACCATTACAAGTGTTCATTTGTCGCTTAAAATTATTTTAATGGCCCGCCTCCAGATAATATGCGTAATAAAATTAATGTACTTTTTTATGTAATGGTATTTCACTCGCAGGGATAACAAACTCCAAACATTCAATATTTCGTTGGTTGGGCGCTTTATTTGTGTCGGGAACCACTCAAAGTTCTCGAGCTGTTTCTAATTAAACTGAACTGTACTAACACAAAAAAAAATATTGGAGAGCAAGCAGTAGGCGGCCTGCTCAATGGCCTTATTCCTTGATGTCGGGAATCTTAAAGCCAGAAGAGCGCATCTCGCGGAGCATGCACATGGCGATGCCGTGGGCAGCCTCACACCTAAATCAGGGGAACACAGATGAAATATTGATTAGGTCTTGTAAAGATTGTTTATGAAATATAGCATATTTTTTTAGTAGTAATATGTTCCAGGTAGAAAAGTGAAAATATATTGCTGAGCTCAAGTTATTCAAAGATGTCCTAGAAATCTCTGACTACTTTCGATTCGGTTGTTTTAAAAAAGTTTTGACGAACCCATCGCATTCCCACAACTTTGGTTTTGGCTTTGTTTCGCAGTAAGCTTGCAGAGATTCTGAAAACACTTTCGTCAAAGGGTTAAGATTTCTCTTAAATCGAGATAAGACTTTCAATTTGTCTGTAATTTGGTGACTATGGATCTCAGGGACACGTGGGACTACTATTTTGGATACCGACGACTTTGTTGGTCCCACACTCACTTGTCCTTCTCCGCCTTATGCTGCTCGTTGCAGGTCTTGACGATGCGCCGGCCATCGGCCTCGCGATCCGGGAACATCATGTTGACCATCTCCACGGTCTTATCCTCGTTGAACTGCAACTGGCCCTCGGGCATCAGCTCGAACTGCTCCAGCATGCAGTGGCGGAAGCACTTGCTCTCGTGCTTGGCGTCCTCCTTGTTCAGCACCATTTCGACGATGTGCTCTGTCAATGGCACAACAATGAGGACGAGATGGGTTCAGGGCATTTTCCGACGGTCCACGTGCACTTACCCCTCAACGGCTTGGGGGTACAGCCGTCGCCAAAGGGCTCGATCAGCTCCACCACCTCGTCTACGGTCATGGACACCTCCTCCTCGTCCGCAGCCGCTAGTCCCACCAGCACTCCGGCGCAGGCCAGTGCCAGCAGAAGTTTCGTCATTGTCATCCGGGTGCTCTGCATCATTTTCGCTTCTCTTGTGGCAAGTGGACGGCCAGCGGTCGCCACCGGACCATTTATACCTGCCGCAGTCGTGTCCGGCACATCCGGTACAAGCCAATCACCTCGGTTGTAGATCTCCCGGCGATAGCCATGACATTGCTGGGGCGGATCATGCAAGCACAACCTCCCATCGCAGCCCAATCAAAACGCGGCACAATTTACCTATGGTTAACCTTTATTGATCAGCTCGAAGGGTTTTTAATAGGAATTTTAATTGTTTTATCTGTTGTGCCCGGAAGGGGGTACCCGAATTCCTAGGGAAACACGAACACCTTGATGTTGTTCTTCAGACAGGAGAGGAGGGCGTGGGCGGGATCGCAGTTAGGCGCGTTTTTTAGGCCCACGGTGGAGTCCTTACAGAGGTTTATGCCTTTTCGGTACTCGTCCTTGTAGCTGTCCGGCATAATGAGGTCCATCTGTTTGAGGGTCGCCTCCAGCTGGAACTTGCCCTTCTTGATCTGAGGGGGATTAGAATAGAAAAATTGATCAAACAAGTCAAATATGTCTTGAATTTCATCTATGCAGAGGGTACCACAATTTTATTCGCAATAACATCTCTACTTGATTTTAACGATTTTAATAAGATATCTCTTTGTTCAAACAAGTGTAAGTCACTTTTTTCTATGTATGTATAGTTTCATGTTAATTTGTATTGCCAACAAACATCGTTTCATTAGCGTTAAGTGTTCCCAAGCTCGGGTTTGATCTTAATCAAGACTGTATGCTTTATACTTAACAGTGTCTGCCTTATTGTAAGATACTCGATCAGATACTCGAATATAAAAGTTTCGCTAATCAAGTGGCTTTAACTTATTTTGAAAAGACGAATATGTTTTCTTTTCATCAATAAAAACTAATACTTACCGACTGCATCATTTCCAAGATGCAATTGATATAGCAGTTGCTATCCTTGCTATTTGGAATATTTCCGTTGCGAATGCTGTCCGCTATTTCCTCGCTTACCTTAGGAAACTTTGGAAGACAGACATCACGCATCAGTTTACCGGCGGACCACATCTGCTCCTCTGTCACCTGGAAGTGGATTATAGTATCCTTAAAACAATCTTTGGCAGGAAGTTGTAGGACCTACCCCTGCCTGCGAGCAAGGCAGCGGTCCCATGGATATAGCGACACAGATTAGCAGTAGATGAAACTTCATTGCCGAGACGGAACGATAAAGCGGATTCCACTCCAAATTCATCGGCAACTCCTTTTATACGCGACTGGCGACATGCAAATGACTTCGTATTGGATTGAGGCTAATAGCACACATTCGATCGAACCGTTTGTACTGTTTAGTTCCAAAAAAATCGGAGGTTGGCCGGGGCGGATCGTTCCCTGGCCGGACTATAATCTTGTCCCATTAATTGACAGTTCAGTGTTGGGTCACCATGCGAGGTGACATGCGAGGCGCGTTCGCTCCGATATGCGTTGACAATCACATTCCTGCCCCTCACTTTCCGACTGTTTTTGATCATGCAAATGAAAACAAGATATCAAGCTTAGATCTGTTGGGGCGGTTTCCAAAAGCCAGTAAGAGAAAAGTGCCTCGATGACAAGATACCCGGTTCCCGATTTAAACATGATTTTTACACATATTCGCATAGAACTAAAGACATATGTTGGTAATTTCAAGCGGACCACTAAATTATATGGCTTCGATAGAAACGATTAGCATAGGAATAGGAATAGGAAAATCTACTTTGGTATTATAAATCTTATTAGCATAGAACTCGACTTAAAGTAATTTAGGTAACTTCGGAAATACGTTTTCAATTTTGAAAACTTTGGAAGAGCATAACATATAGTAGCAATACGCATAACCAGTAAATTTGATAGAAAATCTGTAAAAATCCGCTTTTGATTAAAGGAACTTGTAGTAACCGTTCGAAAACGAAATAACTATTATTATTTATAAGTTTATTGCAAAGTATTAAGAAAGTAAATTAGTAATTAGTAGAATACATTTTATTTTAAATGCAATGGTATATAGACTTATGCTTGCCAAAATTACCTTCTTTTCTTGTTTTCCAATTAAATTAAATTATAAATATTTCACCATTTCATCTACCCATAAATAAAAATAATAACAATAGGCTTATACCTTGTAATGTATAACTTTAATGACTGTTTCTCGTAAAGTGAGAAAAAATAGGAAGGAACTACTATCTTACTTGTTCAGGATATATACAAATTAATCACCCCATTCCCCTAGAGTACCAGGTATGAAAATAAGTGGAATTTATACCTTTAATACCTTTTAAATACCTTTTAAATTAGTTGCAAGGTACCACTTATCAGGAAAATATATTTCATTTGGTGCTTTTTGTACGACTGATGACGTTGAAATTAGTATTGCGTGCGGCATGAACAAAAATCCTATTAAATCATATTCATTATATTTTAAGTTAGGTTGGGCGGTGGTGGGTGGGTTAAGTCAACCACTCACTTAAGCCTAGGAAGGTTTTTTAAGAAGGTTTTTTGGCAGGAATGTTGGGCGGTTGGCCATCCGCATTGAACAAGTAGATTTATTAGAGAAATTTATATTTTCTAGTAAAGAGGACCAGTTCAGTCTTTGCTGTTTGTCCATTCAGATATAGTCTAAAGGATGTCATTCATTTGATCACAGTGGGTCAGGAGAGCCTAGGCTATTATCATCCGCGTAGGCAATAACTTGTCAGCCCCTTACTACCAGCTTCGAGGAGATTTTTTCCATCAAAAAGATTTTATTACAAATTACTTTCGGCATCTAGTTGGGATAATTAGACAAAAATATATATGCATTTAACCTTCTGCAAAGTGCAAGAAATAATTGTATATAAAATATATTAACCTTAACCTTAAAAACAATCGTTTCCACTAAACCTATTAGATATAGTAACATTTAAGTACTTTTAGAACTGGGGAAATATATTCCATTTCAACAGACATTCCTTTCCAATTTGATTGAATACATTTTCCGATTGTATAACTTTTTCAGGACTATAAAGACAAGACTACGCCTTGTTCAAGGCTTACATTATTACTGGACTGGTAAAACAATTTAACAAGAATGGAATACAACTTGGGCAAGCATAAGTTAAAACATAGAGTTACAAATTTAAATATTCTTATAAAATCAATAAGGCAATGCCGATTTTTCGATCAGTTTTTCGGGTTACTTATTGTTCCAATGGGAGCTTTTTGATATATTTTTCCTATCAGGCCAGTTTTGACTTATACACCACCTGTATTAGAAAAAGTTTAAAAAACTAAAAGATGTACACAACTAGCTTTACAACTAAGAGTCAACTTTGCGTAGAAACAGTCAGACTGACGGAATGACGGATAGATTGGCTCTCCTGGTGATGCTGTTCAAGAATATATAATATATCTTTATAATATTGGAGGCGTCTCCATCACTGCGCTGTAAACTTTTTAATGGACCTTCAATACCCTCTGCAAGGGTATAAAATAGCATAAATAATTTCACTTATAGTGTAGGTACAAACGAGGTGCTTCCTAGTCAGGGAAGGCTTTGTCGAGCATTTGGCATTGATTTTGAGACACGTTACTTCAACTCCGATTCGAAGCATAGTCTGAAACGAAACCCGGTCAAAAAGAAAGATCGAAAAATCGTATCCAAATTTTAATCTTTTGCCCCCATTCGCGTGGAATCCTGTCCAAGACGCCAAGATGTCCGAACAGTTCAACTTTAACGACGCCTTCAACAGCCAAACCATGCGCGGCCGCGCCAATGTAAGTGACCTTGAATCTGATAGGCTTTAGAAATCTGCCACTTCATCACGGAACCCTCAGGTAGCCAAGGCCACCTGGGCCTCGGTGGGCTTGGTTTACGTCCTGGTCAAGATGCACCGGCGCAACTCGAAGCGTCGCGATGCCAAGCTCTACTGCAAGGGCTGCCAGCAGGCATTGCTACACGGCTAGGGGGTGACATTACCCATCCCAGCATAGTCTCGTATCCGAACTCCTGTGTCAAGAATCCAGTAAACAGCTCCCAGTCCCAGTACCCTAGTTCCAAACTTTGCCCAAACTCGTGTACTTTGTCGAGTCAATAAATTTTGAATTCTGACAGCTAAGACCGGATTTTTCACTCGAGTAGGCCTGGCTACTGACTTCGTCCCCTGCCAACACCATTCCATCAGACCCGCCCGGAGACAGCACACACACCTAGTACCCAAACTCAATCCCAGATCCCTTGTTCCCAGATACTCAGTTCCCACAGCCCAGACGATGGCCGAAGGTTTCAAGAAGTACTTCAATGGGACAACCATCAACGGGCGCGCTAACGTAAGTACAGAATATAACGGATAATCATTTCGTACCTTGTACTCTTCGACTAATTTAATGTGGCAAAACATTTATTAATCATATGAAACAGTATATAATTAAACTAAAAAAAAAAGGAGTACTCCGACTATTGGATACCCGTTAATCTGCTAACCAATTTCAATATAAATACGTCTTCATCCTTGAAGGCATATGTATGTATCTGACTGCTTGTAGTGACGTCCCTGAATATGTGCGACTTTAATTTCCTAATAACTTCTGAAATGATTGTTTGATTTTGTTTGAGATCATGTTGTCTGGTCCTTTCATGTAGCGGTGCTTAGGTATCACTGGAATCTACAAGTTGCATTTCAAATCTATAGTTTACGTGATCTTCACGTTCATTCGGACAGACAGACGTGGCTAGATCATCTTGGCTTTCGATATTGATGAAGAACATATATAAATCTATATATCCTCCTACCTATTTACTAATCTACGAGTAACAGGAATACAAAATGATATGTTTACATACATACATATGTATGTAAATATACCTAGTATGAATTGATAAAAAGTTTTTTTTGCATGTAAAAAATGGCTCCAAGCTAAAATCAAAGATAACTAAAACTATCGTTTTGAATCTTTTTAAATACCACCAATTTTAAAATGGACCTTAAGAATTCCTTGTTTGCATCCATCATGAAGCCCACTTCCTAACTCCTACAGGTTGCCAAGGCCACATACGCCACAATAGCCCTGCTGTACATCATATACCGCTTGCGCCGCGGATCTGGCAAGTCTTCCAGCGAGTTGGCCAGCGGGAAGTGCAGCTGCGAAGCGGACCACGATGCACCACTGAATGGCGACATAGGCGTCTATGCCGTGGATCCCGACTGTTCCGTTTGCCGGGAGCGATCGGAGCGGGCGATGACTGAATACGATCGCGAGCAGCAGCGACGGGCGGCGAACGAGGATGACGATGGCTGCCGTGACGATCCGCCACCCCCGCCGCCCTCATCCAGTGGATCCGGGGGAGCCGGCTCAGCTCCGCCGCGCCGCAAGTGTCCCTGCGAGGAGACGCAACGGCGCGCGGAAGGATCCCTGAAGCACAGCAGCAGCAGGGCGCGGGGTCAGCAGATCCAGCCGCCCAACCAGTACCAACAGTACTTGCAGCCCGAGCCAGAGCAAGTGCGTCCGGCCAGCCAGCTGATGGGTCAAGTGCACGACGCCTTTTACCGGGTGCTGCGAGGAGTCGTGGGGGCTGTTTTGGGTACTGCGGCGGTCAACACCAGTGGGAGCGGTACCGCTGCCAATGCTCAGGCTCAGGCAGCCGCAGGAGCAGGATCCTCGACTGATGAGCAGGAGGATGAGGAAGAGCGCGACGATGGCCAGGAGTACGAGAACGGCGATGAAACCCAGCTGAAGCGCCGCACCGCTCCACGCTCCTGCGTGCCCACCAGCAACGGCCAGGAGAACTCCGCGGGACAGCCGGAGGAGATGCCCCGGGAACAGGCAGACGCCCAGCCAAAGGAACAGGCGGAGTACAGCGCCTTCAGCGATGGCTTTGCCTCCGGTCTGTACTTTACCAGCGACGAGAAGTGATTGATGAGCGGCTGGGACAGGACTCCGCTGGTTGCCATGCGTCTCCGGACCAGGTGCTTCTGGGGATCTGCTAAATTCTTGGTTGAAATTAAATTTTTAAAAAAGTATTCCGTTGCATATTTTAAATTTGTTAAATTTCATGCCTTAATTGCTGCATATGTACATATGTATGTACATACATACATCAATCTGCCGACTGCGGCGTTGGTAGACCCGACAATCCTGACAAACGCAAAGTGAACTCCAACTGCCATCTCTCCTCAACAATTATAGTCGAAGTTTATGGTGAAAATGCGATTTAAATTGGGGTTAGGATGGTAATGAAAAGGTAAAGAATTTCTCCTTTGATATGCCAATTCATCAATATTTTGGATGGTTTATTGGCAATCATCACCAGTGATTCATTTGTTGGAATTATCAACGAAAAATGGATAAACGGTACGTCAGGAGAGTGTGCATCACACATACTGTAAGATGTTCACACTTCATTCGTGTATGTAATTGGCACTGCGAAACTTGGCGACAACCTTTTTATTCATTAATAATAGCAAAATAAAATGATCACTGGTGATGATCAATTGATGCATTTCCATCGACCGGCCGCTGCGCTGAAGTCAGATCACTTTATTAGCTCTTTAGATAGGGCCGTGGTGTTTATAAACTGTGTTTGGACCCCCGGGGAACTTGAACATTGAATTAAACCCAGAAATATAACAATGTTTATTGGTTTTTGTAATATTTTATTTAGCTTCAATTTAGTTCAGATAGAGTTTTCTTTGCGGCGCCTGGTGGGCGCATCTAACCTTTGAATAAATCATCATTAGAAACGGATTCAGCCCTTTGTGTTTTTAGGGTTATTAATATCAATTATCTTATTAACTGTTTTGGGCAGGGTTCGGATTCGGGATGGATGGGAATGGATTGGATTGCGTCTAACGTTTAAGCCTTGTGTATTAATATGAGTGGACTTCAACTAACATTTATATTTAAATTTATATGTATATATATAATATAATATGGAAATAACTTTAACGCTTTGCTTTTTGGTTTCATTACGCGATCGACCGATCATTACTTCTTTCGCTCGCTTTCGTGTCTCTCTCTCTTTCTCTCTCTCCTCTGTCATGCCTTCTCATTCGCTCGATTCGTCGTCTTGCTCAGATTCAAGTGCTAATTTAAAATATATGTTTATACGTGTATATATGTGTACGTGTCGCGTGAGTGGGTTTAACTTGAAGGCTTCGTGTGTCCTAGTGTTGAGGATCATAAGCTGCTGGGAGATTCGCAAGGTTTCCAAGGTCCTCGATAGACTCTTGCTTTATTTGTTCGGGTACTCGGTTGTTCGGGTATTCGGTTGTTCGGTAGCTCAGGTCGGGAAGGTCAAGCAGGTTGGGTCAGTTTGGGTCAGTTTGGGGGAGTTTGGGACAGTTTGGGACAATGGATTCAGCCTTCGTGGCTAGCCACCGACTCCAGGTCGCTGTTGTCCTCGCTGCCGGTCGCCTCGGTGGGTTCGCCCATAGCCACCCGTGCGTACTCGTCCGTGTCGATGCTCTTGCAGAAGTGAATGGCATACTTGAGCTTCTCCAGGAGCACGGCCTAAAAGCAACGGGGGTGGCATTAATAAAATCCGCATTAGCCGCGCTCGACTACTCTCTTACCTTGCACGAGTAGCGGGGCATCTTGAGCAGAAAGAAGCAGGTATAGCTCTCGGGCAGGAAGTGGTCAGGCGGGTTTTTCTCGAGCACTTGCAGCACGAAGTCGCGGCCTCGGAAGTCGGCAATGGTACGCGGCAAGCGCGTACGGCCCCAGACGAAGCGAAGGAACAGAGAGCGCTCCTGAAAGTTTAAGTTGTAATTTAGTGGCGCAATTCAATTACTCAGATTCATAGAAAAACATATATATTCTTAACAAATCCTACGGAAATGTGATTACAAAAACCATCCGATTGGAGTGGAGATGACCCACCTGATTGGTAAACTCCTCCATCACCTCCCAGAACCACGTGACCAAGGCCGAACTCGGGTCGAAGCCCTTGTAAGTGGCCACAGACTTCAGCAGACCAAGTGGAATGTCCGGCGAGCCGCAGACCATCGCCTGCAACTCCGCGGCGGAGAAGAGCGAGAGCAAAGGCACTGGAATCACCTTGGACATTCCGTCCCGCACCGCCTTCACCTGCTCGTCGAACTCGTGGAGTCGGAACCCGAGAGCCAGGCGGACATACTCCGCCCGATTCCGGGGCGAGATGTGCGTGTAGCGCGTGGACAGCGGCACCTCGTGACCACGGGCCGAGGACGTCGAGAAGGGCAGCTCCAGTGTGTTGAATAGTTTGGGGTCGTCGTCCATGTTGCGGATGCAGAGCAGTCCGGCCACGTAATCGCGGTCCACCTCGGTGAGATCCGTGGGTCGCAGCACTTCGCCGGTCAGCTGCCTCCAGACCGGCTCCGCCAAACTAAAAAGGCAAGACATTGGCTTTAGTACTGTTCTATAGGTACAACCCATAAAAAAGGGCGGTGACTCAGAAAAAAATTAAATGAGTTATCTATTTTCTTAAGACACCAATTACATCGGTGGTACTCACTTAATGCTCAGCGGCGATCCAGTGCGCACGGCGATGCCCATGAGCACGCCCAGGAAGCGGAACATATTCATCTGGAGGACCGAGGAGAGGGTGGGGTCCAGCAAAAAGCAATCGCGGTTGGCGCCCGCCTCGCCGCGTCCGTTGGGCGTGTTGATCAGGAGCGGCACACTGCCGTTCTGCAGCTCGTCACACATTTCGGCAATGGACTCGCTGTAGCCGCCACCGCAGTCGTCGACACTTTCGCCGACGAACTTGACCTTCCAAACGCGGTGGGGGAGGGCTAGTGCCTCTTGGGTGAGCAGCGGCAGCTTCTGCACCATCTGGCCAAAAACGCTCTTCATCCCATCGATGCCGGCAAGTCCGTTGCAGCGGCTCCGAGACCGCTTCACCTGAATGCGGTTCAGTTCGATGACGGGTCCGTGCTGCTTGTCCCGCACCATTGTTGTCTGGATCACCTTGCGGAAGGCCGCCTCCTTGATGTTGTACACGAGCACATCCTTTAGAGCGCCCAGGCTCAGGTCGCCGGAGATGGGCAGCATTGCCAGGCAGGGGCACACCAACTCCGAGAAGTGGTGCAGCAGGATAAGGCGGGCGTGCAGCGCCTCCGGCGTTAGATCGCGTACGAGGTCGTACTCCAGCGGCGGATTGGGCAGCGGCCGTAGCCTCTCACTCAGCTGTGAAGTGGATAGGGCGAGGGTGTGGGCGGAACCGCAGGTGACCTTCACAATGTGCTTGCCCTGGAGGGCAGCCACAAGGCGCGGCCGCTGGATGGCAGTGACGGTACCGTCTCCCAGTTGGCCCTCGTCGTTATCGCCCCAGGTGTACACCTCGCCGGAGTCGCTGCAGGCGACGCAGTGCAAGGAGCCGGTGGCAATGGAAATTATCTTCTTGCCCTGCAGAGCGGCCACCTTCTTGGGTCGGCGCACATGGTCCACTGATCCGTGGCCCAGTCGGTGGAAGTCGCCTTTGCCCCAGGTGTATACCGCTCCGGATTTCGTGAGGGCCACGGAGAACTGCGATCCGCACTCCACCTTGACCACTCCCAGTCCGGCCAAACTTTCGATCTTGTACGGCAACTTGCAGCCGTCGCTTCCACCGCGGCCCAATTTGCCGTAGTCGCCGTCACCCCAGCTCCACACGTTGTCGTCGTCCGTGATGCACAGCGTCTGTGCGTCTCCAGAGCCGCACGCAATGTCAATAGCCCGGTAGCCGAGCAGCGCCTCCACCAACTTGGGTCGCAGCTGGTCCTCGGAGTCGCCGTGTCCTAGCCTCCCGTAGCGTCCTTTGCCCCAGGTGAGCACATGGCCACTGGCCGTGATCGCCGCCGAGTGGGCACTGCCGCAGGCGATGTCCACCACGCTCATCCCGTTGAGGTGTTCCACCAGCTTGGGTCGGTCGTAGCTCATCCGGTTGCCGTGACCTAGCTTTCCGTCCTCGCCCTCGCCCCAGGCGTACACCTCGCCCTCGGTGGTCAGCGCCAGACAGTGTTTTCCGCCGGAGTTTACGGCCACCTTCTTGACGAATACGTGCTGCAGGGACCCCAGCAGAGTGGGAATGGCCCAGCTGTCGCTGCCTCCAACGCCCAGTCTTCCTCCGGATCCGTATCCAGTGGCAAACAGTTTTCCATCAGGCGTCACGGCGAAAAGGGATTGCTCTCCGCCGGCCAACTGAACCGGACGGAGCAGGCTGAGCGCCTCGCAGGGCGTTGGCGTCTTGATCCGGCTGCCTTCCAATCCGCCCAGCTGGCCCCTGTGGTTGTGGCCCCATCCGTAGATTGTGCTGGCTCCACCCCAACTAAGTGCCCAGTCGTCGGGTCTCCGGTTGAGCCACTGCAGCAGCTGGGCGTCGTGCGGCGCCTGAAAGAGCGTGTGATCCTCGTGCAGCAGCGTGCTGGTGGATTCCAACTGGTGGGCATGGCAGTGCAGATCATGCTGCTCGCTGGTGGTTCCCGGCGGTGGGGATACATTGCTGGCCGTGCTGGACGACAATGAAGTTGTGGAATTCAGCATAGAAGCTCCAGGCGATTGACCACCAGGATTGGGATTTGAATTCGAATTTGAAGTGGGCAGCATTTCGGCGAACTTCTTCCGCACTTCCAGGCAAAACGCGCGGGGCAGTTCCGTACGCCGAATCAAGGATTGGGCCACTCTTACGGCGATGCAGTAGCGTTTGAACCAGGCCCACTTGTGCACGTCTCCAGTGAAGGATGTGGCACCCGCAGCTGCGGTGGAGGATGATGATGAAGTGGCGGGCAACGTGGCGTCAAGCTGCATGTCGCAGGCCAAGGCAGCCAGGGTCTTGAAGTAATCCGAGTGCATCAGGTGGATGCCACCACGCACCTGCGGCTCCTCGTACTCGTACTGGCGCAATAGCTCCGGTATCAAGGGCTGCAGCAGCGTGGACAGTGACGGATCCTGTGGACGGGGAGCCTGTTCTAGCAGCAGGACGGCGTGCAGTTTGCGCAGAGACCATATCCTCTGGGCGGTGGTGAGGGCTCCCAGTTGGGAGCAGGCTGCCAAGGCGGAGGCCAAACGGAGTAGAACACTAGGCTGGCGAGGGGCGAGCCGGGAATCCAGCAGCGACATGACCAGCGCCATCGATGGCTGGGATAATACGGCTCGATCCGAGCCACTTTCGCCCAGCGTGGCCGCCGGCATGATGGCGTGCACCCAGAAGCGCCAGCCCCATCCGTTCACCGAACTGTCCGAGGAGAACTTCCAGCGCAGCTCGTCGCCCGGCACCCGGATCTCCGGAGCCCAGTGAGCAAACTCCCGGCCTGATCGCATGGCTAGTACCCGACCGGTGCCGTCCATGATCACCAGCGGATCGTTGCGCTTCTCCGTGCTGCATTGGCTGTCAAACTCCAGGCGAAGCATCTCCGCACCGGGAATGCGCACCACTCCGGTCACGTTCACGTTGTCCACGTACGGGTGGCTGCTCTCCTGCATCACTGGCTTGGGCAACTTGCCCAGGCAGTGGCGCGATGTGCACAGGTCCTCCAGCTCCGTGATGCATGTCTCCAGAAGCATTGCGGCCACCGGCGGGGCTCCAGCGCCCAAGGAAATAAGAGTGTCGCCGATGGTCTGGGCGGTGCTCGGCGGTCCGCATCGACCGCACACGGCCAGCTTCAGCAGCTCCACCAGGCTTTTGGCCTCCGGCTCACCCAGCAGTCCGCCGAAGTCGTCCAGGCCGTGACAATGGCCAATGTGGGACAGCATCTCCTCCTGCTGCGTCATGGTGGCGGCCATCACGGACATGGCGCTGGCCGACATCCGGGAGTGTTTGTGCTGGGGCAAAGCACTGCTGGAGAGCGACCCCGACATGGACAGGGATCCGGTTAGGCTCTGAAAGGCGCTCAGTGGGCCAGCGGTGAGCGGTGGCAGAGGGACAGCTCCGCCGGACACTCCTCCGGTCAGCACCTCCATGGCAGCATCTGGACTGTGCTCCTGCAGAGCGGCATCAGTGGCATCGGCGGGCGCCTCGCCACCTCCCTGGGCAATCGTTTCCGCCAGTTGCAAAGGTGCTCCCATCATGGTTCCTCCCGTGAGTTGCTCCTCTTCGCCTGCGGCCACGCCCCGCTCCTTGTAGTTGACCTTACTGTGACTGGTGAGCGCGGCCACGATAAGCTGGCGTGCCTGCAGGATGCTCATGGCACGGAGTACGTGACCCAGAGCTGCCTGCCTGGCAGCTGGTGTTTCCAAGGCCAGACTCTCGCTCAGGCTGGTCATATTTATGGGTTTAGCCTCCTGCTTCAGGGTTTGCACTGTCTCCGCTTCGTAAATGCCCAAGCTGCTTCCTCCCAGGGGATCACGCGTGCTGCCGAAGGGCACGGGTCCTCGCTTTTCCTCGTCCAAGGATGCATTGGGCAGTCCCCAGGCTATGGAGTGGGAACTGCCGCAGGCGACGCGATTCACAAACACCGCATCCAGGCCGATGACCAGAGCTGGCTTCTTGTTCACAAACGTGTTGCCACTGCCCTGCTGTCCGTGGTCATTGTCTCCCCAGGCGTACACCTGGCCGGCATCCGTGACCGCCAGGCAGTGCAGTGCCCCCACGGCCACGTGGATGACCCTTCGGCCCCGCAGGCCGCCAATGGGCTGCGGCTTGCGCACGTGTTGATCTCCCCCGTGGCCGAGACGGTAGTAGTCGCCCTTTCCCCAGGTCCACACCTCTCCGGCTCGCGTGAGGGCCAAGCTGAACTGGGCGCCACACTCGATCTGCACCACTCCGATCCCCGAGAGCCGCTCGATCTCGTGCGGGGTGTCTGATCCTTCGCTCCCACCGCGTCCTAGTTTCCCGAAATCGCCGTCGCCCCATGAGAACACGGCGCCGTCTTCTGTCAGGGCGAGAGTTTGTGCATCCCGACTTCCGCAGGCCACTTGGACGACCCTTCTTCCTGTCAACGCTGCGACTAACTTGGGCTTCAGCTGCGTTGCGTTGTCTCCGTGGCCCAAGCGGCCGTACTCTCCCAGTCCCCAGGTGTACAGCTCGCCTTGGCTGCTAATGGCCGCCGAGTGGGATGAGCCGCAGGCCACATCGCGGATCTTCTTGGCGCGCAGTGCCTCTACCAGGCGAGGCTTGTCCAGCGTGGTCCGGTTACCGTGGCCGAGTTTTCCGTCCTCGCCCTCGCCCCAGGAGAACACCTTACCGTCTAGTGTCAGGGCGAGGGCGTGCTTGCCGCCAGAGTGCACGGCCACCTTCTTCACCACATACTGATGCAGCACGGGCAGCTGGTGGGGAAGTGGCACATTGTGGGTCACCCCGAGGCCCAGGCGTCCATTTGTTCCTTCGCCGCAGGCGTAAACTTTTCCGTCCTGGCTCACGATAAACAGACTCTTGGATCCGCCTGCGATGTGGATGGGTCGCAGCCGACTGATGGTCTGCGAAAAGCTGGGCACCTTCACCTTGGATCCCTTGAGGCCGCCCAGCTGCTCCTTGTCGTTTAGGCCCCACACCATTACGGTGCAGGGCAGATCTTGTTCGGGCGCAGCACCAGCTTCGCCGTGGGATGTGCTAACTGCTCCGGCTCCCGATGCTGAGCCAGGCCCCACTCCGGCGCTGTACTCACTGGCCAGGAACTGGGCGTTGGCCAGAATGTGCTGAATATCCGGTTGCTGGCGGCGACCCACAAATTTGATTCCGTGAATCTTGCACTGGATGCCGTTGTTCTGGCACTGCTTAACCACCACTTCCACCCAGGGGTAGTACGTGGGCACCTGCTGCATGAGCAGCACACGGCTTGCGCCCGCCGGCACCGGGATCCAGGTGTACTCCTTTAGGCTATCAACGCACTCGCCTACGCGGATTTCCAGCAGTGACGGCATGTGCGAGTGATCCTCGGGACTAACCTTCAGGGTCAGGCTGTGGACTAGGATGCGGTCGTGCAGCTCCAGGCGGATCCAATGGCGACAGGGTCCAGTGGAGCAGCTCTGCCACGGCTGGTTACTGCCGTTAAGCAGATGCTTGGCAGCCGCCTCGTTGGAACTCACGGTCAGCGAACGAATGCATCGGGACCAATCCTCGATGAGATCGCTGGACACTACCTGGCCACAGGAATCACCCATGCCGGCGATGGAGTTGGACACGGGCAACGGGGCCACCAGTTCCACCTCGTTGATGTGACCCTGCCAGGCGGGCAGGTCCGGAAAGTCGACAGTTAGTTGTTTGCTGCGCACGGAGCTCACCACTCCAATGGCCGCTGATCCCTGGCTCCTGCCCAGCCGCAGTTGGCAGATCATCCCGTACCGCAGCGAGCGCAGCCGGACCCGTGCTCCCACCGCGATGGGCGGGGGCCGTGGCTGGTGCTGCGCCTGAGGAGCCTCCACTAGTTCGATGTGCACGAAGCACACCCAGTAGGTGCTGCCGTGGTTGCGCCAGTCCACTTGGACGTTGAGATCGTGCAGGCCCTCGGTGTCCACGATTAAAACGGTGCCCATGTCGCCTTGCTTGATCTCCTCGAAGTCCCGACAGCAGCGCACCGTCATGCCCGGGCGAACCAGTCCCCTCACATATAGCGCGTACAGATCAAATGTCTGGAAGTCCTTGCGAGACTCAAACTTCACTGGCAAAGAGGCTCCACTGTTGGCCACCGGCTGACCCTCAACTGTATCCGAGGAGGATGAGGACGAGGTCGTCGAATTCGAACTGGGGCACTCATTGTCGGAATCGGCCTCTGGATCGTGCGACGAGGTCGAGGACGGCATTGGCAGGGTGTCCTCCTCGATGGTGTTAGCACACACGTCCGGATGCTCCAAAATCCACTGCACTATCTGTTCGGGTGTGGGCATAATCTCCGCTTGCAGCGACAACTGCTTGAGGGCCAGTTCCACAGTGCGTCGCGTGAATCCCATCTCCATTATCTGCCCAATGAGCTGGGCATCGGTGGCCGCCGCCGGCCACTTGGACTTGGCCTCCACTTGCTCTGGCGGCTTCTGCTCCTTCCTGGCCACATTGTACACGGGCACTCCGTGGACCATCGTCGGTTGAGGCGGAGAACAAAGTGAATGGGCGTTGGGCGGGATGTCGCCACCCTCACTCAGTTCCTGGTGCGCCTGAGTGGCCAGCGATTGGATGCAGTTTAGGGCTGCCGAGTCCAGATCCATGTAGTTGTAGCAGGCTTTAACGGGGGACGCCTGGGTTGCTCGCAAAAGAATACACTGTATCAAGAGCTGGGACTCCTGGCCACTTCCTGCGGAAAGCTGATGCTCCTGCTCCTGCTCCTCTTCCACCGCAAGCTGCGACTCCGCGTCGGTTCGGTCCGGCTCATCAGCGGATGCATATATACTGCCAGGAGCGCGTTGCTTGAGGATGCGACGCAAAGCGGCTTGATGGCGGTACAAAACGCCGTTTGTGTGCAGCACCGCCATCTGAAGCTGCTGGGCCCGGAGCAGGGCCAAGTCCAGGCGACCATCCGGGCTGGTGGGCAGCTCCCGGAGCTCCGGAGCTGGTCCGTAGAGCAGCACTGTCCACGCATTCAGCAGCATTTCATTCATAGGCAGACGACTCAAGCTGAAGACGCTGTGGTCCAAGTGGGGCATCACCGCCGGCAGCTGCACCTTCACAAATCCCGTGCCAGATCCCACGCCTCCGGGTGCGAGGAGGCAGCGGCCCTTGGGTGTGAAGCTGGCGATCACCATGTGGCCGCCTTCGTGGAAACAATGGAGGCCCACGCGTGGACGCAGATCGTGGCCACCCATGGCCCCAAGCACACCCAGCACAAACACCTGTTCACTGTCCAGCGGCGTGGAGTGCGGCGAATGTTCTGCCAGCAGCTCGGCGGCTACGCAGAGTTTCTGCGCCAGGAAGGAATTGATGACCGGGTTCCAGGACGGCAGCGTGTGCAGGCGGCGAAGCAGGGCCACCAGCTCCTCGGCCACGCTGCCAGAATGGGAGGCTGTGAGCAGCACGCGCGCCTTGCCCTCCGCCGTAGGCAGTAGACTAGCATCACCGGGACAGTGGAGCGCGATGCGTCCCAGGGTGGCGAACAGTTGGTGCACCAGGGCGGGCATGCGGAGCTCCTCCTCAACGCCCCACTGCGCTAGGATGAACTGCAGCAGGCGCAGGCAGTGGAGTTGCCGGTAGACGCCCGCCTCGTTGCCCGCTGGCTGCTCAAGAAGAGAAAGGTAGTGACTCAACCACCGCGGGGTGCTCAGCTCCAGGCAAAGCCGGGGGCAATCGCCTGAAAGAGACAGAAGGATTCACATTACTCTCTGAAACATCGCTTAAATATTAATAAAAATCTAAAATACTTTCTGATGAATTGAACTACATTATATAAATAAAATAACAAATAAGCAAATTGATCCATGAAATTTGTATTAATACATAAACGAAACTCCTTAGTTTAAACAGGTAAACATTTCAGGTTGTACCTATAAAATACCTCCACGAGTAAGTAAAATTGCAACTGGTTACTACTCGCTAAGTTCTATTACATGAATTGTCAAATTGTCACCCGTAGTATCATAGGGAACCACATCGCTTCAATGATTTTTAATTGATTTCTTTATTATCATGGATCATTTTTATACCCTTGCAGAGGGTATTATAATTTCAGTCAAAAGTTTGCAACGCAGTGAAGGAGACATTTCCGACCCTATAAAGTATATATATTCTTGATCAGCATCACCAGGAGAGTCGATCTAGCCATGTCCGTCTGTCCGTCTGTCCGTCCGTCTGTCCGTCCGTCTGTCCGTCTGTCAGTCTGTCCGTCTGTCCGTCCGTTTCTACGCAAACTAGTCCCTCAGTTTTAAAGCTATCTGCTCGAAACTTTCCCAAAAGTTGTCTTTCTATTGCAGGTAGTATATAAGTCGGAACGAGCCGGATCGGGCGACTATATCATATAGCTGCCATATAACTGAACGATCGGAAAAGCCATAACTTTGTTGTTTTTAAAGATAAGAAGTTGGGACTTTCTATGGGTTTTATTTTTGGCCAATCAATCCGACATACCGAATTTCATAAGGATCGGTTGACTATATCTTATAGCTGCCATATAACTGATTGATCGGAAGTGCCATAACTTTGGTGTTTGTTAAGTTAGGAAGTTGGGATTTTTTATGAGTATTAAGAATGCATCATATGAATAATTTTGGAGAATATAATTTACAGAGTATTCTGCAAGGGTATATCAACTTCGGCTCCGACCGAAGTTAGCTTTCCTTTCTTGTTATTTTTATACCCTTGCAGAGGGTATTATAATTTTGGTCAAAAGTGTGCAACGCAGTGAAGGAGACATCTCCGACCCTATAAAGTATATATATTCTTGATCAGGATCACCTCCTGAGTTGATATAGCCATGTCCGTCTGTCAGTCTGTCTGTTTCTACGCAAACTAGTCTCTCAGTTTTAAAGCTATCGAATTGAAACTTTGCACACACCCTTCTTTCCTTTGCACGCAGTATATATGTCGGAACGGCCGGGATCGTCCGACTATATCCTATAGCTGCCATATAACTGATTGATCGGAAATGCCATAACTTTGGTGTTTGTAAAGTTAGGAAGTTGGGATTTGCAATGGGTTTTATATTGGGCCAATCAATCCGACCTACCAAATTTCATAAGGATCGGCCGACTATATCCTATAGCTGCCATAAAACTGAACGATTGGAAATGCCATAACTTTGGTGTTTGTAAAGTTAGGAAGTTGGGATTTTCTATGGGTTTTATTTTTGGCCAATAAATCCGACCTACCAAACTTCATAAGGATCGGCCGACTATATCCTATAGCTGCCATATAACTGAACGATTGGAAATGCCATAACTTTGGTATTTTTAAAGTTAGGATGTTGGGATTTTTTATGAGTATTAAAAATGCATCATATGAATAATTTTGGAGAATATAATTTACATAGTATTCTGCAAGGGTATATCAACTTCGGCTCCGCCCGAAGTTAGCTTTCCTTTCTTGTTATTGTAAAATTTTGTAGTACAAATATTTTAAAAATGGAAACAAAGCGTATAGAAGCACAACTTTAATACATTTTGGGTCTTAATCTGAATATGTTGGTTATGTTGGATAATTAAGGAAAAATACGAGGACGGAAGCTAACTTCGGCAAGCCGAAGTTGTAATACCCTTGCAGACTTTGAAAAATGGATATCAATAGCTTATACACTACGCGAAATAATAAATTAGATTTTATGTAATTTTATAAAAAAAAAGATTACCTATATTTAACGAATTTAATTTTTAAATGGCATCTGTAGTATATAGTTGTCTGATTGGCAAGAACTTTTATCCTGAGCAAGGTATACATACATAAATTTGATTTGCATAGTTTCATGTCAATAGCTTTCATACTGCAAAAATGTCATATAAAAATAGAAAAGAAGTAATATTTTCACAGCTTTTCAACAACTAATCCAATGGAAGCTATAAGATATAGACGTCCGATCAGCAAGCGCTTTTACCCTGATCAAGGTATGCATAAAAAAATAAGAATTGTAAATATGCATGTCAATAGCTTTTACACTGCGCGAAATATCTTCAATTCATGCAAGTTATATCCGATTGTTCCTATGGGAGCTCTAGGATATAGACGTCCGATCGGGGCGCTTTGATCTGCGTGCACATGTTTAAGGACGAGTTTTATATCGATAGCTTTTAAACTGAGCTCGCAAACGGTATTAAAACAGACGGACATGGCTATATCGACTCCCCTATTGATCCTGATCATGAATATATATACTTTATGGGGTCGGAAACGTCTCCTTCACTGCGGTACAAACTTCTAACCAAAATATAATACCCTTTGTAAGGGTATAACAACGTGCTGCTTCAAGCTTAATTCAATGCTTATTAAATAAAGGAGAAGAACTAGTGCAATTTTAAAGGTCCGCCCGCAACAGTAACTGAGAAAATGTATGCAGAAGTCATCATTTGTTGTTGTGGCAAATGTAGCTGTAGATATACGTCCACTTGAAACAAGAATAGGTACTGGAATTAAAGATATTCCCTCTTACATGATAGTAAAAGTAGATGCTAGGCTCAGAATAAAATACATTTCTAGAGGATATTATAATTTGGGTCAGAAGTTTGTAACGCAGTGAAAGAGCCATTTCCGACCATATAAAGAATATATATTCTTGATCAGCAGCACAAGTTTATATAACAATGTACGCAAGCTAGTCCCTCAGTTTTAATGTTTTTGGATGAAACATTTCGAAACGTCTTCTTTCTGTTGCACTTAGTATTTCCATCGGAACGGGCCGAAACGGCCTCATATAGCTCCCATAAAAGAATTTCAGGAAATCGACCAAGCTTCATTGGTTTATAGCATCGAAATATAGATTATTTAATTTTTGTAACAGCTTCTGGGGTATATAAACTTAAGGTCCCGATAATAATAAATTTGTTAATTATACTTGTTTTAATTAAAATATCCCTCAGGCTGTGATTACGCAATAAATTAATAAAATATATATTCGTTGTATAGCTTTCATTTGTTTACAAATTTTCGATACCAAAAAATGTTTGAGTCTAGAATGAACTCAATTGCACGAGCACACTGAATTTCATCTGATGATTAATAGCTGATAAACGAGGGAAACGTATATGGATTGGAAGTTAACGTAAAGTTTCTGATCGAGACATTAACAGTTGTATGAATAGAATAGATATGCAATGGCAAAAATGTTTTGGGTATGGTAAAAGGAATCATTAAAAGTTTCCATTAATATTAAAAAGTTTTCGCGTTTACCCGCAGGTTCAGTTCTGCTAATCGTGTTATGGAAGACAGAAGGACGAATTAAAAGGAAGAAAATTTAGAATCTAATAATTAACTATCAAATTCTAGTATTATTAGAACTTGCTTCAATAAATCAAATAACACCTAGTGGTTTCAATCGAATTAATTTGGGAAAAACGACAAATCTACCGTTTAACCGACAGTTTTCGGCAAAACAATAAAAGTAAAATTCAATATTTAAATGACCCTGCTTCGGAGTTGCAATGAAAATTAAATTCAATCATGTTTCAAGCGTTAAGTAAAAGCAAAAAAACAAGAAAGGAAGCAAACTTCGGCAACCCGAAGTTTATATACCCTTGCAGTTATCACAAAACGACTATTTCGATTTCTATGCCTATATTACTAAAAACAATGAAGCTATGTCGACTTTGCGATGCACTTTGCCATCGTTTCTATGGCAGGTATATAATATTTCTGTCCGATTTTGACACAACTAAAAGCGTAATTCTCATATAGTAAACAATTAATATATTTCAAAGGAATATTTTAATAATAAAAAAACAGCAATAAAAAAAAATGGTTTCCATTTTTTTTTTGTTAATTTCGTTTTTCCTATGGGAGCCATATGATATTTAATTTAATAAAAACCGTAATTCCATCGTATTTAAATATTTCCAAATCCCAAAGAACAACAAAAATTAAAAACAACAAAGTTATACTTTTTAAAATCCCTCTGGGATCCGGCTCGTTATACTACTAGCAATAGAAAGACAACTATTGGGAAAGTTTTAAGCGGATAGCTTTAAAACTGAGGGAATAGTTTGCGTAGAAACGGACGGACGGACATACGGACATGTATAGATCAACTCTCCTGGTGATGCTGATCAAGAATATATATACTTTATAGGGTCGCAAATGCCTCCTTCACAGCGTTGCAAACTTTTGACCTAAATTATACCCTCTGCAAGGGTATACAAATTGCCCCAGTTTGACCAGCTGAATAATTAAAAGAAAATTGTTATTGAGTAATTAACTTTTAAAACAAGAAAGGAAAGCTAACTTCGGGCGGAGCCGAAGTTGATATACCCTTGCAGAATACTCTGTAAATTATATTCTCCAAAATTATTCATATGATGCATTCTTAATACTCATAAAAATCCCAACTTCCTAACTTTAAAAACACCAAAGTTATGGCATTTCCAATCGTTCAGTTATATGGCAGCTATAGGATATAGTCGGCCGATCATTATGAAGTTTGGTAGGTCGGATTGATTGGCCAAAAATAAAACCCAAAGACAATTCCAACTTCCTAACTTAACAAACACCAAAGTTATGGCATTTCCGATCAATCAGTTATATGGCAGTCGGCCGATCCCTGCCGTTCCGACATATATAGTGCGTGCAAAGGGAAGAAGGGTGTGTGCATAGTTTCAATTCGATAGCTTTAAAACGGAGAGACTAGTTTGCGTAGAAACAGACAGACGGACATGGCTATATCAACTCAGGAGGTGATCCTGATCAAGAATATATATACTTTATAGGGTCGGAGATGTCTCCTTCACTGCGTTGCACACTTTTGACCAAAATTATAATACCCTCTGCAAGGGTATAAAAAAGGAATTAAGCGATAAGCAATAAATTTAAAATTATTTTGCGGTGTGACGATTAATATTTGCATAAAACAATACGTTTTTAAAGAAAAACACTATCAGGTGGTATTATTAAAATGGTGCTCACCGGATATTGCTCGGATAAAGCCAAGGTTGAGCCATCCCAACGAATGGGAGATGCTGGACATCGATGGTTTGGGGTAAATTATGGCTCGGAACATGCTGGTCATGCCACGCAGGGCGTGCTTATCCAGTTGAGCGCCGTGCAGTCCGCTTCCCACGGCCAAGATCTGTAGAAGCTTGGCAGCGCAGTGGCGCAGCAGTTTCGATGGGTGCGAATCGCTGTTGGGCGAAGCCTCGCTTCCGGAAACATCCTCCCGCTCAGGTTCCGTGGGTGAGGCCACATTGAGAGCGCTGTCAGCCAGCTGAAGGTCGTACTGACCCTCCTTACCCATACGATAAGAGTTGGTGGCTCCCGTATACCATTCCACACGCACCCAACTGAAAAGAGAATTTAATTTGTTGCCAAATCAGGAGCACGAGTTTCGGCCAGAACTTACCCGTCTTCACCAACCTCGCTGATAATGCGCCCTTCGCCTGGCGGGTTGCCATCCTGATCGCCCCACTTCCAGTCTGCTCCCCTGACAATGCGGGTTCCGATCTTCATCAGCTTGGCCAGATCGGGACCACTGAGCTGCGCCTTGCTGGATTTCTGCTTCAGCACGCTGTCTTCGTAGAGGATACTCAGTTCGCCGTGCACCTGGCCGCCGGTCACACCCTCGCCGCCCGTCTGAGCCAACAGTCCGAGCACTGTGCCGAGCAGCCCGGAGTTGATTAGCAGGCCCAGCTCGTTGGGACCCAGTTCTTTGGCCAGGAGACCAAACACACTGAGGAGAAAGCGAGCACGTGGAAGGCGCTTTAGCAGTACGTAGGTGCCCAAATTGGTGCTATCCTTGCCGCGGGCATGGCCCTGCTGTTCTTGGTTTACCAAACGCCGCAGCTCTCGTACTGCCCAGTCGAGGACGCGGGCTTGAGCCAACAGTAACCTGGCCTTCTGGTAGGCACTAATCATGTTCAGCTGACCAAGAACATGCATACTAGATCCTGCAGAGCCTCCACCGGAGGATGTAGATTTCAAGTGCAGTCCGAGGAAACCGTTAAGCAGACTGTACTGTGCCGCATCCAACAAGCCATGTAGTTCAAGCAGTTGCTGGACAAGCTGAAGCCCCGCCAGCCGTAGTTGGTAGCGCTGCATCTGACAGTACATAGCCCGTCGTGCCGTCTCCACGTCGCAGCTGTCCTGCAGGGCAAAGTCCACAATGTCCTGCATGAGTCCCGGGTCCAACTCCCCTTCGCCATGAATCTGACGTTCGTTTAGCCTCCGTAGTAATGTTTCCTCCTCTTCTTGCTCCTCCAGCTCCAGTTTAGGCATGGCCTGGGGCTTCTTCTCCTGCTCCTGCTGAATAGTGGCATTAAGCAGATCCTCCGGCTTCGCCGGCTTTCGCGAGGAGCGCAGTTCCTGGAGAAGACGACGCACTAGCATCCGGAAGCGCGACGGGCGCTGCAGGATGGGCAGACGCCGTAATCCACGTTGCTGCGGGCTGATCGCTGGCCTCACCTCGTAGAGCAGGAAGCGCAGACGCTCCAGGATGGGGGCACACACTTCCTTATAGCTGCGGTTTAGCTGTTGCCGGGTACGAACAACTGACCACTTGGCCTGGTGTACAAGCCGAATGATTTCGCCCAGCTGTCGTGGCGGCGACGACTCCGTCTCTAGTGCACTGAGCACTAGACCGCCGAGATACTGGTGCCGAATGAGCACGGCGCTCAACAAGCGCTCCAGCTCCTGGACGGGATGTTCCGTAGAGAACTCCTGGTGCCACATTAGGTTGTGCGCCTTGCAGTAGCGCTCGGTGAGCGCCAACCAAGCAGCCACCGGCGGCTCTAAAAGCCGAGCCTCTGCCAAGCCACTTATAAAAGCATCTGCTCGCTGCTGCAGCTGGGATTTTCCACGTCCCGTAGCCAATTGCTGCTGCAGCGGCAATGGTGGCGGCTGCTCCGTTGGCGTGTTACCGGCAGTGCTGTGACAACTGTGGCTACTACGCGCCTCGCCCTTCTCCTCGTCGAATGGATTGCTTGGCTGGAGCAGCTGAAGGCCACCACTCAGCAGTTTGGACTTGTCAAGTTGACGGCACTGCAGCTCCGCCGGCTGCAGCGCCGGGCCGCTGCACATTAGATTGGCCACCAGGCCGAGCAGCTGCGCCAAAGCGCACTCCGAACTGAAGTGGGTAAGCCGGCTGGGTCCAGGCGCCGATGACTAGATTGGATTAAATAATTACATTAATTGGGACTACCAAATTCTTAGCGGGATCCCACCTTCTCTTCGCTGCTAGCCTGAGCCATGTACTTGCCCAGCTTGTGATGCTGGAGGATGTGTTCCATGGCACTCCTGTGCGCCTGGCTACCCATCTCAGCCGTGAGATCCTTGCCTAAGCCCGAGTCCAAAACGCTCCGTAGTGTCTCCGACTCGCAGCTGGAATGGGTAAAAGTTGTTAATAATTTTCGTGTATAATTTGAAGCTGATACTCACTTGTATCCAGTAAGATCACATACGTAGCCGGTCAAGATGATGCAGCGACTGCCATCGAGCAGTAGATTCTCCATGTCCGCCCGGCGCACATAGTGCGTCTCAGGATCGGCCGGCGGGGGTCCGCCTTTGGGCCCACCTCGACAGATGATACCGGGCCAGCCCATGTCGTCGCCGTCGCGCAGCTCTCCCTCGCTAAGCGCCCGATTGAGTCTGTCCAGCACCCTGAGCAGTGGTAGAAACAGGCGCGCCCACCGTAGGCCGCCCAGACACTGGGGTCGATCGCGTTTGAGAAGAACCAGGCCCACAAGCAGCTCGTGCAGAAGGGCGTCCGAAATATCAGCCTGGAGTACGCGGCCCAGGTGGCTTACCTGGTGACTAAGCGAATGCTCACCCGGCTCCCGACACTGCAGCGCCAATTCGTGAGCCTTCTGCAGAGTGGCAACGCAAGCGGGTATCAAAGCGTGCAAGTATTGCAGCAGTAGCGCTTCGGCGCCAGTGGTTTCCTCTTCGGGCTCTGCCTGGTGGATGTGAGCCAGCAGGAGGCGCTGGAACCGGTGCAGCAGGCTCAGGCTGGGACTAGTGCTTGGCTCCTGGTGCTGTTGCTCGCGCTCTGCCTCCTCCTTCTCCTGCTGCAATTGCTGCTGCTTTCCAAGCGTGGGCGAAATTCGGGTCTGGGAGAGCGCTGCGTTGTTACTCAGCAGTCGCGTGATCAGCTGCAGCAAAGGTAAATGCACTCCGTCACCGCAGTCTGCGGAGCAGGAGCTACTCTCCAGGCGGATGGCGTGCTGCAGCGCCGACTCCAAGCCGCCCTCCGCCATCAGGGAGCTGACTAGGAGGTCAGTCATAAAGCGGTGGCCGGCTGAGGACGCCTGCCCAGGTTCCGAGGGCAGCAGCGAGGTGAGGGTCTGGGCACGCTCCGCTGCTGTAGGCAGCAGGACACTCCAACCGTCCTATAATAAGAGGTAAAATCATGGTTTTAGTGTAAATCCAAATGAAAAAAGACTGTACAGATAATTAAGAAATGCTCACTGAATTGCTTAAAAAAATTATCTTTCCACAAGTTTTCATGGAAAACATTTGTAATGTGTTGCGATGGACAGCAACATTTTGCAATCTATTATTATACCCTTGCAGAGCGTATTCTAATTTCAGTCAAAGGTTTGCAACACAGCGAAAGAGAAATTGCTGACCCTATAAAGCATAGGTGCCCAAAAATAGAACATATCAAATGTGCTTGCATTTGTGAGCTTGATATTGTTTCATATGTTTTAACATTTTGGCCTTCTTTTGTTATCTTTATTATGTGTCCGTGTGAATTATCAAAGTAGGTCAGGAGCTATTAAAGCCAAGAATGGGCATGTATGCTTTAAAGTATATATTTTATTGGTCAGCATCGCTGGCGAGCGTATATAGGCTTGTATATCAGTATTAAAGTAATCTGTACAAAAAATCTGTATTCTTTCTATTGCAGATATTACATACATAAGTTGGAACGGGCCGGATTGGACGACTATATCATATAGGAACAGGTTGTCTCAACTCCGACATATACTTTATGCAGTCGGAAAAGTCACTGTTACAATCTGCTGACAAAAAATTAGAATTCACCCTGCACGGGTTAAAGGTTAAACAAAAATTTTAACTTCAGAAATTTAGTTTTAATTTTTTAACAATCGGACGACTATATCATAAAACAAGAGAGAACGCTATAGTCGGGTGCCCTGACTATCAGATACCCGTTACTCAGGTAAAGGGAGTGCGAGGGAGATGGAGATAGAAACTTTGATCACGCATAACTTTTTAACGAATGGTCCGATTTGAAAAATTTATTCTACATTTCGATAGGTATTAATGAACACAATAAAACTGAATTTTTACTTTTCCGAAATATTAAAGTTTTTAAAATCGTATATAAGCGATTGTGGGCGTTAAAGGGGGCGTGGCACCTTTTTGAAACAAACTTGCGCTGCATAGGAACTCCTAGAATCTGCACGCAAAATGCCAATCTTCTAGCTTTTATATTTTCCGAGATCTCAGCGTTCATACGGACGGACAGACAAACGGACAGACAGACAGACGGACAGACGGACAGACGGACATGGCTATATCGACTCGGCTAGTGACCCTGATCAAGAATATATATACTTTATAGGGTCGGAAACGCTTCCTTCTAGCTGTTACATACTTTTGCACGAATACAATATACCCTTTTACTCTACGAGTAACGGGTATAAAAAGAAAAATCGACATAACTTCCTCATTTTTCAACATATCAAATAGCTGCAATAGGAACAATCGAAAATTGATTAAAATAATCGACATAAATCCTGGTTTTTACACATTAATATTTATATGTAGAATATTACATTTATTTTAAAGCTGCATTGGTACTACGTTATTTATAATCTGCATTAAACTAGTTGGATTTTGACTGAACATCAGTTTCATTACCCGCACCGCGATTTCAATAGAGCAGGGGAGAACAAACTAACTGACTCACCTGTAGTGCCTGCTGTGCGGCTACTTGGATTGTGCGTAGTACTTGGCTGCCACCAGCCAATCCGAGAACACGCGTCTTAAGGCTGCTGAGGAGCCGGCTGCCACTGGCAAGCCCCACTTGGCGCGGCTCAACTCCGTTGGCGATGAGAGCGAGCAGTTGCAGGCGCACCAGATTGAGACAGGCTACGGCGATGCACTCGCTTTCCTGGTTCGGAGTCTGCCTATTGTCCTGGCTACTGCACATTCCCAGCAGCTGGTCTAGCAGACGGAACGTGGGCTCACCCAAATCGATGACAAAGGGGGCGCGCAACGGCACACCCTGGTGGGAGCTCTGGGTCCACACCAGACTTTGGGCACTGGTGCAGGCTACTCCGCTAGCCGGGAGCGTGGGCAATGCCACGAGGATGGGGGTTCGCAACAATGGTTCCCTGGACACGGAGGCAGGACAGATTTGCTGACTATCGTTACGGCCCCATCCAAAGACCTCCCCGGTACTAGAGAGCGCCAGACAATGTGCTACACCCACAGCCACATCCACGATGCGTTTGTGCTGAAAGGAAGCAAATGAAAGTAGGATGTCACAAGGTTCATAGCGTAGCTTACCTGCAAGCTGCTGACCAGACGCGGGACACTGCATCCTTGGACGCTGCGCTCCACTAGCTGGTGTCCCAGGCAGGTGGCCTTGCCCCAGGTGAAGAGCTGGCCTTCGTTGCTTAGCGCCACTGAGAACTGAGACCCTGCAAAGACGCGCTGCACCCGAGGGAGCGATTCGACAAGGATCGGCTGCAGGCTGCCGTTGCAGTTGCCATTGCCCAGCTTGCCGTAATCACCGTCGCCCCAGGCGAACACCAATCCCTCGGATGTGAGGGCAAGCGAGTGGGCATCGCCGCTGCCCAGGGCTACATCCACCACCATGTGCTCGGCCAGTGCCACCACCAGGGTGGGCAGGCAGCGGTCGTCGCTGTTTCCGTGGCCCAAACGGGCATATGTGCCGCGGCCCCAGGTGAGCAGGTTGCCGCCGCAGGTGATGGCAGCACTGTAGGAGCAGCCGCAGTAGACCGACTGGACGCAATGCTGTTCCAGAGCAGCAATTTTGGTGGGGACGGCGCGGGCGTGGGTGTCCCCATGTCCCAGGCGGTGATCTTCGCCAGTGCCCCAAGAATAGGCGTTGTCTGCAACAATATTGAAGATCGGGATTACAAATGATCACAATTAAACATACGGGAACAGTGGCGCAGGCCGAGGTTGGTTTTGCACATAAGGCACATATTACGGTCACTTACGGTTGCTGTCAATGGCCAGGAAGTGTCTGCCCTCGCAGTGGCCGGCAATACTGATAAACACCTCATGGGCGACTTCCTCCATGGGCAGCGGTTCCGCTTCCGGTTTGGCCAAGCGCCAGGTGTGCAGCTTGCCCTCCTGGCTAAGGATAAGCATCTGGCTTTCACAGCAGGCCACCTGCTTGATCTGGAATCGGCAGCTGAGCATTGGCACCACCGTGGACTCCCCGCTCCAGCTGAGCGTTGTTTCGGTGCTGAATCCCTGCTGATCCTTGGAGAGCGAGGGCCATCCCAAGGCGTAGATTCGCTGCTGGGGGGCCGAACTGGACGATGCGGCAGGGGCATGACCAGTACGGAGCAGGCAGCGTGGCATTAGCGGCTGCACCATGCGGTCCAGGTGAGAAATGATGACGACGGCGGCGCGCCGAAGGTCCACAATTGCCGCACTGCTCTTGGGTAGCGAAAGAAAGCGCAGGAAGGTCTCAGTGGCACTGGCCACCGGAGCAGGCTCTCCGCCGGCGATTCCGCCTCCTTTGGCCGTTGCTCCAATCTTCTGGTAGCGCAGCAGGATGCGTTGCAGAGGGGCGCCTGTCTTGCGGGGCATGTCCCGATTGTCGTTGCCCGCGCGATCCTTCTCCCAGAGCAGCAACAGCAGAACGACGCTCTCAAGCGTGGCGGCCAGCGTGCCCTTCTGCACGCCCAGCTCAAGCAGCAGGCACAGTGCCGTGTGGCGGTCGTTCAGCGGGGCGGTACATCGACCGCCCATCGGATCTCCGAGCGCCACCAGCCGCAGGAACTTGATGGAGCGCTCCATGACCTCCAGCCAGAGCGACGAGACAACGGCCGCTTCGAAGAGGGTGGCCTCCGGCAACTCCTGTAGAGATGCAAGCGCCTCGCTCAGCAGCTCGCTGCACATTTCAGTGTCCTCACCGGAGCGCCAGGCGCGGCGCAGAAAGGCGAAGCTGAAGTTTAGGGCGGCCCGGGTGGCCACACGCGCCAAGCCCAGAGCTCCGTGCTCCGGAGTTTCCGTCGGCTGTGGGTCAACGGCATCGTTGGTGGCGACAATGGTGGTGCTTGTGGTGGTAGTGTTAACCCCGACTGGTGTGCTTGTCGAGGGCTGCCGCTCCCGCTCTCTTTCCCTTTTCAGAGCCACAAAGTAACGTTCGTAGACGAATAGTTGCTGTCGGAGATGCTGGGCGGACAAGCAGTTGCCGGCAGCGCGCAGGGCCAGCTCCTGCAGCTCTGAGATCATGGAACGCTGGCAGTCCAGACGCGCCTGCTGCGATGGCGGCTGGCTCCAGAGCCAGCCGCTCAGGACCAGATCAGTGGCCTGGCTGAGATGTGCTGCCTGCTGGGCGGCGGCCTGCGTGGTGAGCTTCTTGATGGCCGTGTCCGAGTCTAGGGGTCGGCAGCCGTCGCAGTTGCAGGCCGAGAGTGGCCCGCAAAAGTCCGGCTGGCAGCAGGAGCACTTGAGCTGCTGGGCGCCGCAATAGTGCTTGCCATCGTCGCCCAGGTAGGAAAGCTGGCCGCGGGCGTTAAGGAGCGGTGCAGAAGGAGAGGAGACCAACTCGCAGTCCTGGATCAGGTGGTTCCAGAGCACTGCGCCATCGGCGGCGTTGCGCAGGGAGGCAATGAGATCAGCGCGCAGCCACTTGGCGTCCAAGAAGGGCAGGGGGCGCAGGTAGAGATCGGGGGATTGGCTGGGCGGTGCGGGTGATCCAGATGTAGTGGCTCCTGCTGGTGGTGCAGAAGCAGAAGTTGGTGGTGCGGGTGCTGCCTGACTGGGGCCCGCGCCCTGGCCACTAGCTCCTCCTCCTCCGTTCGCCTGGCGGTTAAACATGGTCTTTATTCTAGGTTCGGGTTTTCAGTTTCCTTCTAGTACTCCACGGCTCAACTCAGCCTGGAAATGAACAACAACGACATCATCAATGGCATGGCACATTTTCCCCTGCGAAAGGGGAAGGGGCGTGGCGGGGGCGGGTCAATGTCGTCACTGGCACACGGACTACACACATACGCACACAACTCGGGCGTCCAGGATCAGGATAATCCGTTATTACCCTGCTCCGCAATGCTCATTTTGTTACTCCACACGGAGTTACGACACCCAGTTTTATTCGCTTGCACTCGCACTCGCACTCTCCGTTGTTTGCACTTGCTGTTTTTGAATGCGTTTAATTTAATCAATTTAATAGTTGTCTTTAGCGATGGACGATAGTTTCCAGCCCGTGACCCGTTCGCCAGTGTTCTAGAGTCACGAAAAGGCAGTCACTGCTTGGCGAATAGAGCGCATACAGTGACCACACACTATCGGGACTATACAAACTAATGGAAAATGTATTTGTTTTTATTTTGTATTTTAACATTTTTTTTCGATGTTGATTAAGGTTTAATCATAGTCGGAAAAAATATAATTCGTTTTGCTGCCACTAGGCATTTCTGGGGTTGGATGCATTTTAGTTATGATATATGTACATGATATATATACATTTTTATTGATAGACGAAGAAGCCCACACTTTTATTACTTCAGCCCTTAAAGCCACTCGCATTATACGTCAATTAGTGTTTCTAAAATAATAAATAAAAATCAGAGCTAATTCATGGGTTGGAAAATTATCAATCTTATTATTCGGAAGGACTCCGCGCGATACTTTCACACGTCTTGCGATCGACATAATTATCAGCTTTTATAGATAGTTTTATCCAGATAGATTTAAAACTGCCACCCTAGTTTGAAACGGACAGCGAAACATACATAAGCACATTGCTAAATTGACTATCCTGGTGATGCTGAACAAGACTTTTCTTTACACTTTATAGTGTCGGAAATGTAACATTAACTGCGTTGAAACCATTTGACTGAAATTATATTACCCTCTGCAAGAGTGTAAAATTTACATATTAAGAAGAAAAATGAGGTAACTTAATTGTTTTTATAAATGTATTAAAAATTAAGTCAGTATTTTTAACGACATTATTATTTAGATAACATATGTACGTGTAGTTCTTTTCATTGGATCTTTTTTAATTAAATTTGGCACAGTCATCTAGCAAAATAGAAAATGCGTTTTTCTTTTCCTAGGTTACCGTTAAAAAGTCATCTGGAAAAACGGTATTTTACGCGAAAGGGGATTTCTTCCAAAAAGAGTGACCAGTTAGTGGCTGAATCGGATACTTCGATATTCTGTGCGAAAAAGGTGGAGGGCACACTGAAAAACCTAAATAGCTAAACAAATTTTACGGATTTGGGAAAAATTACTGACCACTTCTCCTAACCGGGAGCAGCCAGCCACGATGACGTCCCGCAACCTGACGGAGGTGTTCGTCATCATGCGCAACAACGCGTCCAAGAACCGCAATCACTACGACGATCGGGTAAGTAGTCCAAAACAAAGGTCAAAGGATTTCTGTTTTAGCATATGTTTTGCGATTGTAGAGGGGCAGTGATGCGGAACGCCTGCTGAAGCACTCGGTACGGGAGGCAGAGGAGGGACTAGAGCTCCAGGACGACTATGGGACACCGCCCGCCTGGCTGGACAAGTTCGAGGAGGCCCAGTACACCATGTCCAAGTGGGTAGTTCAAACACTATGAACTTAATTTGCTAAGGGTTTCCTTTCCTCTTCAGAATCAAGCCGAAGCTGGACGAACTGGGCTCCCTGCACGCACGCCATCTCTTGAGGCCTGCCTTCGATGATCAGCGGGACGACGAGTGCGATATTGAAGTGCTTAGCCAGATCGTCTCCAAGCTGATCACCTCTACGCACCGGCACATCCAGTGCGTGCGGTCCAGCATCGGAGTCGGCAGCAAGGTAGAGCAGTGCTTGACCGCTAACGCGGTGCACTGCGCCCTGCTCCAGTTGCAGGAGCTGACCGTTAAGTTCCGGGCCAGCCAGAACGCCTACCTGCTGCAGCTTAACTCCCGCGAGGAGCGCTCGCAAAAGTACTTCGACGACGGTGGCGCCGGTGAAGTCTTTACCAACGTGGAGCTGGGCGACCAGAGCGCTGAGAATTTTGTCGACTCCTTTGACAACTTCTTGCAGCCGCCGGCAGCAGAGGGCAAGAGCAGCAGCAGCTTCCTGTTTGAGGACGACGACCAGGCCATTGATGACCACTTCCAGCGACCGCCGGCCAGCCGGATGACCCAGCAGCAACTGCTGCTTTTCGAGGAGGAGAACTCGCGGGTGGCGCAGCATCGCGAGCAGGAGGTGACGAAGATAGTAAAGTCCATCTACGACTTAAACGACATATTTAAGGACCTCGGACACATGGTGCAGGAGCAGGGCACTGTGCTCGATCGCATCGACTACAACGTAGAGCAGACGCAGACGCGTGTCTCTGAGGGATTGCGCCAGTTACACAAGGCAGAAATGTATCAGCGCAAAAACCGCAAGATCTGTGTCATTCTGGTCCTGGCGGCGGTTACCTTCTTCATGCTGCTGCTGCTCATCCTGACCAAGCTTTAGTTTTCCGGTCATAGTCCACGTCATTCCCGTGTTTATGTGTGTATATTGTAAATGTATAAATACATGTTATATTTATTATTTATTGCTAATGCTAAAAAAAACGCAACTACTTCTCAATCTCAAGTCCCGATTACGATCACATGCGCTCCGAGAGACGCGAGGCGACGGCCCGCAGGTTGCCGTACACTTTGCTGGGCGGCGAGCCCAAGATCAAATTGCAGACGGCCCGACGTGCCAGCTGGATGTTCTGGTAGCTTCCGAGGATGTGGATCTTGCTGTCTGCCAGGACAATGCGGGTCTTGGTCACGTTCTCGATGGTAAACTTGGTGCGTCCGCCCTTGCCCGCTAGGCGACCGATTGCGCGCGACTGGTGGTCGCCTCGCAGCGTTTTCACGTCCTTGATCTCGAAGGACTCGACGAAGAGGTCCTCCAGCCGCAGCAGGGCCAAGGCGTCGTCCACTTCGAAGCCGCAGAGGAAGGCGCGCACAAAGTCCGCTCCGCGCTGCAAATTGGCAATGTCTGGCGTCTCGGGGCCGACACGCAGCTCCACCTGGCGCGCCTTCATGTTGAATCGGATCTGCAGCTTCATGTGCTCCACCACGGGTGTAAAGATCTTCATCCAGTGCTCCTTCAGAGAGGAGTACCTGTGCGGCGGCACGGACACTTTGCGCAGCTCGCTCCTGGCCCTTTTTGCCTTGGGCGGAGCCGATGCCAGTGAGGATCCCAGCACCTGGCCCTCGATGCCGGTCGCCTCGTCCACTTGCATCTCCATGTCCTGCTGGCCGCTTCCGGAGGCTCCTCGTTTGGGTGCCCGTTTGGCTGGCTCGAATGCGTCCGCCTTGATGTTCTCTGCCTCCATGATGTGATCTGTTGTGGTTTCTTCCGCGACAATTGCGTTGTTCCCCAAAATATTCTGTTCGGCTGCTTCGTCTTCCACGTGCTCAGTGTGACCGCGTTCGAATTTTGATTTCAAATATACCATTGGCCCCCGAAAATATACCAAGAAAGTTCCTCACATATACCAAAAATTATATTGATCAAGAATATTTGTATTTTTTTAAAACATTTCTTTTTTTGTAATTAAAGCCTAGTATCCAGATCGACAAACGAGTATGCTAGCGTAAAAACTTTAATCTTTCCAGTGTGACCAAAATTTCGAGAGTTCATCGGATTTAAGCGTGCTACGGTCGTACTGACAATCAGCTGGGTTTGTTGACAAGCAGTTAAAATTCAAATATCGTATTTGCGGGAAACAGCCTTTAAAAGATATTATCAAATACCTTGGCAAGACAAGTCTGCCGCTGTACAAAGAAGTTAAAAAACAATACAATTTAAATTTAACAGTTGTTTTTTTTAATTTTATGATAATTATTTGCTAATTTAAAGTTCATAGCTGCACTTTTATTGTGTTTTTTCGTACATTTTGGACCTAAGAAACATTTTGCTCTGACAAGAGGCACCTCAGATAGTATTAATGTTATTTTGTCCTCACATGTAAACTCCTGCAATCGACTTTTGTGTTTTTTTTTATTTTATTTGAGAAGCGCACGCCAAAAGATTAAATTTTTTTATCTTTGCGCTAGGTTTACTTTCTGGTGGTTGGCAGCGCGAAGTAATTTTCAGGTTTTTTTTCGTCGATCTGAGTACCGAGGTGAAAAAAAAGCCAGACGAAAAGTGCACGCCAGCTGTTTGCCTCTCGCTCTCTCTTATGACTAGCGTACGGTTTTCGTCGATCTGAGTACTAGGCTTAAAGCAAGTTAAGCAATCGATAGCTGACTCCATAGGAAATTAGAGGCCGTGTGGAGAGCAGATACAATAGAAAAATATTAAGGAGTAGTTTCATAGATATTTGGTCAAAGATATATCTTGATTCGAAGGGTGTCCAAAGAAACATCATCATACAGGAATTATGCTTGCAATTGCGGATTGGCATCCTTAAGGGGGTATATACCTTTTTTTGTCGAAAAAAATAGGAAAGTTTGGATTTTTTATGTATGTAACTATTGTTTTTATTAAATGAATGATTATATTTTCTGAAAGCTTAGATTGTTGACAATCTTTATGCAAAATTTTTTGTCGAAAAAAATAGGAAAGTTTGGATTTTTTATGTATGTAACTATTGTTTTTATTAAATGAATGATTATATTTTCTGAAAGCTTAGATTGTTGACAATGTTTATGCAAAAATTTTTGAAAAAATATTTAATAGTTTTTAAGGTGTGGCTGTTTCCCTTAAACGCCTTTTTTTAAGAGCCTTGCGGTGATAATTCCCCAGGACGAATGGGTCAACTGATACCGAAAAAATAAAAATATTTCATTAGTTTAAAGTAGTATCCTGTACTTGAACGAACGTTTTTAAAATTTTCTTTTTTTGTGGATACGGGAACGTTTAATGCAAAAAATGACGTTTTTGGACGCTAAAATTCTCACAAAACTATCTATTTCGGCGAAATAAAAATTTTTACATGAAAAAACAATCGTTCAAGTACTAATAAAATTCATTACGGAATTTAAAAAAAAAAATGAAGAAAATCGGTTCAGTAGTTTTTCGTCAATCCATATCACCGCAAAGTCATTTTAAAAAAAAACCGTTTCGAGATATTCGCGGTTAAAGTTTCAAGTTTGGGTTTGGGCGGGGACGATGCGCGCTTTAACTTTTTTTCTACTGCTCAAATCTCTATGAAAATTTAGGGAAATATTCTCAAGAAGTTGTTCTTTAAGATAAAGCAAAAAAAAGTTTAGATTTTTCGAAAATGAAAAAGGTTTATACCCCCTTAATGACGAGCCGAAGGAAGACTGTACATGACAGACGTGTGGTAGTGTGTACGGTACTATCTGTGTCATAGCAGGCAGCCCTTAGCCACAATGTTGCCTATCGTTATCGAAAGATGTCAATCGAGTATGCGGCAAAATTTAATTTCTGGAAAGTTTTGAGATTAAGTATGGTCACCGAGGTAAGCGTTCATGTAATAGCCTTTAAAAGTTTCTTCGCCAACAATGGAAATTATTTTTGCATCAGCCGCAGCGATAAGCAGCCGATTGCCATGCCTCCTATTTCCCCTGCACTTCAAAGTAAAGTTAAGTAAGGCAAAGTGAAGTATAGTAAAGTTGAGTGCGAGGAATGCGGCCACCAAAGGCGGGCGATAATCTCAAGTTTGCAATTGCACTGGCAATTTGTTTGTTATCTCCTCCGTTGCCTCCTTCTTTTTCTCTTTCCGCCTTTGCCCCTATTTTTGGCTCTTTGGGAAAACTTTTCGCCGAGCATGAGCTATTTGAATAAGGACACTGAGAAAAAATAAAATCCAAAGATATAAGGCTAACATAAATTGAACTCGAAAAACATTTATGTTTCCAAAAGATGTCATACGATATAGTCGTCCGATTCGGCTCATTCCGACTTTGTGCAATAGACAGACCATTTTTGGGAACGGCTTATCCAAACAGCTTTAAAACTGAGAGATTAGCTTGCGTAGAACCGGACAGATGGGCGGACGGACTGACGGCCAAAATAGATCGACTTTTGGAAATGTCTCGTTGGGAATTTTTAACTAATTTTATTTCACCCAAAGGAAATTTGTATTTACAAATTGGTTGCCTTTTTTGTACTTCTTACCTAGGTATTTGTTTTTGGAAATTCCCAGTACCTGCCCTAGGTAGAAATACTAGTGTCACAAATTACAAGACTTTATATAGCTGCCATAAAAATGATTAGATAAAGTATATGATAAATTAATATAAATAAAAAGATTTTTCTGAAGTTTTCAAAGAATAAACTTCGACTCTGATTTGTATTTTATGTTCTTGAATATTTTTAATAAAATTTTCAAATTCGCTGAGCTTTTCAACTGATAAAAAAATGTAATTCGCAGTGCAGAAAAATCGTGGGGCGATATGAGTGCAAATTGCGTTGGCTTTCATTTGGCATGCACTCATTTGGGTTATCTGCTCGTCCACTTAATAAACTTAATGACTCTCGAAGCCTTTGGCTGCACATGATTTTGCCAGGAAATCGCCTAAAAGCGCTCGGTTCTCGAGCTGCTAGGTCAGCTGATGAGGCAGAGGCCAGCCTCCCTGAGTCCTGGCACTCCCACTTCGTCCACCACCTCCGCCGCCTACCCCTTTGAGGTCCTTTGACAGCGGCGATGTCCTTCGTAGCCGTCGCTTTGAAGCTGACGGCAAAAGTGAAAACGCGAAATACACGCGTAAGGGCTTCAAAGGTTTTGGATCAACTGCTTAAAAGTTATAATTAGTTGAGGTTAGGTTTTGGACAGGACCCCAAACATATAGTGTTGCGTCTGCCACACAGGAAACAAATCTGCATTAAATTTTAGATTGATGTGATGCTGTAACCGTCAATAACTGTGAATATTCGAAGGTCAGCTATGGCAGCTAATTATATAGTTGTCTGATTTTTATAAAAGTAAAACCGCAATTCAGAAATCATTAAAAATTAATATATCTTTAAGTTTATAGGTATATTCTAAAAAACAACGAAATTATAATTGGATTTTACTATTGTTTTTGTTGCTCCTATGGGAGATTATGACGTATTTGGCCAATCCGACCCCATCCGGTTTATGAACTACCTGAAACAGAAAGAAGACTTTTTTCTAAGTTTTATCCAAAAGTATTAAAACTGAGGGACTAGTTTTCGTAAAAACAAAAAGCCGGACAGACAGACATGTCTAGATCGACTCGGCTGGTGATGCTGATCAAGAATATATATATTTTATGGGGTCTGAAATGTGCCTTCTACTGCGTTGAAAACTTTTGACTGAAATCATAATACTTTCTGGAAGTATAACCTTCAACTTACCGTAAATAATAAATATAAAAAAGGTGTGTGTATTTATATTTAATTGAAGTATTTTTCTTTTCGCACACATAACAAGTACTATATTTCAACTGGAACCTGGGAAAAAGAAAATTTTGCTTATTTTAATTCTCATAATAACTATCTGAAAAAATAGGGAAATCGGATCGGGCTCTAACGCGCGTGAGTTAATCGAATTGTACTGTGCCGTGGACGCGTATAAAAAGGCACACCGTAAAACCTATGACTCTTTGTAGAAACATCAGCGAACAGCATGTACATATAATGTTAGATCTCGTCTAGTCGCGACTGCACAAATTTATGGAATATTCAGTCGAATTATGTGATATTTTTATAAATGTTTATAATTCTTATTGGAAGAAAACATATTTTATATTTCTAAGCCTAATTTACACGAAAACACGCATATAAAATAAGAAGAAACGCTGTAGTCGAGTGCCTCGACTAAATTTGCTCCACAGCCTTTGAACATTTCGAAAATTTTAGAAACGCGCCATCTGCCGAACTGCAGTGCAAACACCATAACAGAAGAGCGATCAGCACCCGCGCCTCCCGTTAAAAATTTTCTCGACCGCTTCCGCTCTCTTACATATATGAACCCCGTTTTCAAATATGCAATGACGTCATTATTAACACAGAAAATTTTGTATAACATCTGAAATTAAAAATTCGATGTTTAACGGGTTTAAACGGATATGGCTTAATCGACTCGGTTATCGATCCTGATCAAGAATATATATACTTTATAGGGTCAGAAACGGTTCCTTCTACCGGTTACATATTTTCCAACGAATACAATATACTCTTTTACTCAACGAGTAACGGGTGTAAAAAGGCACGACTGTTAAAAAACAGTTACACTGGTAACAAATTTAAAAACAAATAGCGGCAAACAAAAAAATGTGGCTCCATCTGGCGGTAAAATATATTTATTTACTAGCGCTGATCTTACCAAAAAATATATGTTTTTGTAGGTTTATGCGATTTATGGGCGTTAGAGTGGGCGTGTCCAAACTTTGAAACAACGGCATTACTAGAAGCAGCATGTTAAATCTCAAGCTCGTGTACAGACAGACAGTCAGACATGGATATACATACATATATATTTTACAGAGACGGAAAT